GTCCACACAGGCCCGTTTCTCCAGTTCATGCGGGAATGCGGGTGAAAAACAGACTCGACACGAGGATACAAAGGCCCGTCAGTTTTTCCGTTCGTCTTCACCGGGCCCTTTGAAGCCTTTCGTCGCCTTTCATTGGCGTTGGTGCGAAGTTTCAGTCGGCTTGCTGTGGGCTTGGCTCGTCTGGTGGTGCGTCTGGCGCGCCTCTTCGGATTGCCTAAATTGGTAATGCCGAGCAGAAGAAAACTCCTATAGTGACGACGTCATCCCGAGATACTTGTGTACATGGATAGATCGGAGTTGAGATTTCCACCTTCAGCTCCAACAGCCTCTACAGTTAGCCGCAATTGTGCTTGGAGACTGGAGGCCGCAAGAAATGAGGATTCACAATACCAAGGGATAGGCATTGGACAAGCAACGGACAAGAATATTGGCATAGTGCCAATGCCCGCGAATCGTCTTGTCAAGGCTTGTGCCTGTAGTGCTTATTCTTAGCACATAGTCAAGCTTTTGGCATCCTAACGACATGTGCTCGGTTCAATATCTGGTTGACCATTAACATGGGAATCACGAGTCGGAGAATACAAAACAGAATCCAAAGTCTATCCTCTGACAATCAATATAGCCTGAACCAGTACGTCATGTGGTCCACCAATCTCGACGCACCTGGCTACCAACAACTGCCGACATTGACAAATCGCGTGCGAGTATTTCTCAATTTGAAACCTGGTTCTGTCTTCTGTTGTCCCCACGACCGCGGGTCCAACTTAATCTGCCAAACCAGCCAAAGAGAGAGATCACAATGGCCGGGCGAGCAGACAACTGAGAGTCAGAACCCGCAGCTGCAAGCGCTCTCAGCGGTTACGATACCACCCTGCCTTTTGTCTCCAGCCAAGTCCCGTGTCCTCAGCGCTTCTCGAGGGGGCGGGCGGCGGTGGTCGGCTCAAGGTTGCCGCAGGGTTCGCACAGGGCCCCCTGACTCGCAAACGGCGCCGCTCGGACAGGAATAGTTCCAACCAAGTCTATGAACTGAACCAACGGTATTGGCTCAAGTTAGATGGAAGATGCACAAAGGGCACGCTCGAGGTACCTTTCTCTTGCATTACTTATCAGTCTGCTATCAAAGTCTTCAAGGTATGACGTCGTAGTCTCCAGTACTTCTCCATCTAAACTCCACCTACAATGTACGATTATGGACACAATTGCGGCTCTTTTGGGTACTTGTTGCTCCGCTTTCGCAATGGTGCTGCCTTATCCTTTGGTCAAGCACGGGCGAGCATCCAAAGGTACCATTCTCGCGTCGGTGTCTCTCCGAATTCTGCCGCGCGATAGGACGGAAACTCCACGAGTGTTCGCGTCTCAGAGCGGTGAAGCCACCGTATTGCAACGTCTTCCAAAGTACGAACCCGCAAAACTCTTACCCTTCCCGGCGCCGTATTGGCTACAAGTGGCCCCGCGCGTTCCATGACGGCGTCTTGGCCGGGCCTGACGACATGTCGCCAACCGTTCCTTGTGTCCTCCCCTTGGGCCCCCATTGTCCACCCCCGTGGAACCGGATGTGGAGTCGTTACCCCCCTCCTCGAGGTCGGAGAATGTCCCCTCTCCAGAGGGATCTTGGATCGTACGGGGATTGGGGGAAATCGGGGCAGCCTTTCGTGGGACGGCTGGGGATTGGCTACTTGGGGTTTTCTGGGATCGGTGTAAACAGCACCAATGCCAGGGTCCGAGGCTGGCACGAGTAGCCATGTTACCATGTCAGTGCAGGTTCGGGCATGCACTTGCGTCTTGTGGTATGAGCGTGAGTGGTGAGGAGAAAGAAGTAATTCCTGGCGGTCGCGCTGACGTTGCCGATCTTTACCCTGTCGCGGTAGGTTTGGGATTTTCATCTATAAGGTCGACACGTTCGCCATCTCAATTCGCATCTGATCTTCTTGTTGTTACCTCTCATCTCGACTCAAACCCATTCCCTTCACCAACCGAACTGCGACCTACAGCCCTTGACATTGTTTGGAACACGTCGATCCAATACTGTCCGCTGTAAAAGAGTCTCCAAGATGGGCAAGCTCAACTACTTTGGCCTCAGAGGCAAGAGCCTTAACTGGGCTATCAGTATCATTGCAGGATGCGATTTCTTGCTTTTCGGATATGGTAGGTTCCAACATCACATTGCGGACTTGACTCCGAAATCAACGAACATGGACTGACTTGCCTTTCTTGTTCAGACCAGGGTGTCACTGGTGGTATTCTTACTCTGCCTGCCTTCCAGTCCCAATTCCCTACCATTAACCCCGACGAACCCAACCTCGATCCTGGCATCAAGAGTATGCGCTCTACCAACCAAGGTATTGCCGTCGCCTCTTACAACCTTGGCTGCTTCATCGGCGCCATCATCACCATCTTCATCGGAAACCCTCTTGGTCGCAAGCGCATGATTATCCTCGGTACCGCCATCATGGTCGTCGGAGCTGCCCTCCAGGCCTCTGCCTTCTCCATTGAACATCTCATTTTGGGACGTATCATCACTGGTCTTGGAAACGGCGGCAACACATCAACAGTCCCTACCTGGCAATCTGAGACTTGCTCATCACACAAGCGCGGCAAGCTCGTCATGATCGAGGGTGCCCTCATCAGTGGTGGTATCATGATCTCGTACTGGATCGATCTCGGCATGTCATTCGCTCCCGGCTCCGTCGCATGGCGTTTCCCTCTGGCTCTGCAGATTTTCTTCTGTCTCTTCATCCTGGCCTTCGTCTGGAACTTGCCTGAGTCTCCTCGCTGGTTGATTCTCAAGAACCGCGACCAGGAGGCCAAGGAGGTCATCGCCGCCATCGCCGATCTGCCCGAGGACGACCAATACTGCAAGAACGAGTACATTGTCATGAAGGAGACGGTCGAAGAAATGTCCAAGGGCGGCTTCAAGGACCTCTTCACCATGGACAAGAACCGCAACTTCCACCGCGCTGCTCTCGGCTACGTCAACCAGATGTTCCAGCAAATTTGCGGTATCAACCTCATCACCTACTACGCCGCCGTCATCTACTCCAACCTTGGCATGACCCGTTTCATGTCCCACTTGCTGGCTGCTCTCAACGGTACCGAGTACTTCATTGCTTCTTGGCCCGCAGTCTTCCTCGTTGAGCGCGTCGGTCGCCGCAAGCTCATGCTTTTCGGTGCTGTTGGCCAGGCTGCTACCATGGCTATCCTCGCTGGTGTGAACTCCCAGAAAGACAACTACGCTTGCCAGATTACTGGTATTGTCTTCCTCTTCGTCTTCAACACCTTCTTCGCCGTTGGCTGGCTCGGCATGACCTGGCTCTACCCCGCCGAGATTGTTCCCCTTCGTATTCGTGCCCCCGCCAACGCTCTCTCCACCTCCGCCAACTGGATCTTCAACTTCATGGTAAGTTCTTGTCTGAAGTCCTATCTCTAGCAACTTGACACTAACATTGGGAAAATAGGTTGTTATGATTACTCCCGTTGCCTTCGACTCAATTAAGCACCACACCTACACCATCTTCGCCATCATCAACGCCATCATCGTCCCCGTCACCTATTTCTTCTTCCCCGAGACCGCCTACCGCTCCCTCGAGGAGATGGATTCCATCTTTGCCAAGGCCTCCCCCGGATTTAAGGGTGCCTTCGACGTCGTCGACGTCGCCTGCAAGGAGCCCCACCGTTACGGCAAGAACGGCGAGCTCCTCATCACCTACGACGACGTCAAAGAGACCGGACACGCTACCACCCGCGAGAACCGTCGTGAGGGCAGCACCAGCAGCGGTGAGCCTAACGGACTATGGGAGCGCCAGGATGAGGAGACACAGAACGTTACCAAGGAGGAGAAGTCTTAATTGGCGGTTTAATCCCACGTTCAAAATTGCGCATTTCAGTCCCCTGGTCGGGATGAGGAACTTGGCCAGGGTGGCTTGAAACCGATATACCCCATCTCTACGAATTATGTCCTTTGCCGGGCAGTTTCCGGCTTTCTCAACTTGGGCACGGATTGATATCCAATGTCATTAATTCCTATTCTTTTATGAAGTCTGTAGGACTTCGACAGTTGTTGAGATACCACTAGTTCATCTAGATTCAAGCATAGATACCACAACAAATCGTTCAATCATCTAAACATCCTGGAATCATTTCCTGCCAACTTCTCGTGACCGCCGTCCATAGCACAGTTCATTGACAATTCCGTGTCTCGGGCTTAACTATTGCCGCCGACGTCAGCAACTCTATGGTTGGATACTAGAGGCCCAACGCCGCTCGCGCGCAAATTTTGGCTCTGGTTTGCCTCCCGGACGTTGCCCGGAGTTGCCAACAGACTAATGTAGCGCTTACAACATCTTCCCCGGATTTGGCTCGGAGGTAAAACCAAACTTTACACTTTGAATCCAGTCTTTGCCAAGAACCAACTTCACCCGTTCAGCAGACTGGTCTTGCCGACTACAGGAATCAGACCTTCAAATCAATCAGTCAGCCAGCGCGGAGTGTTGTCCGGCTTCGTGAGCCTCAGACACACTATTTCTTGATGGTTGCCCCGTAAACTTTACCCCGCATGCCCCTCAGGAGTTTTGCCGTCCCCGTCCCCGGAATGCAAAAAAGGCACCACTGCGACGCAACTGGACGGCCTGGACCAACATTAACCACCCCATCTCATCTCTAACCGGGTGCTGACAAGAGTCTCTATTGTTTCTTGCACGGTCTCACTCTCGGCTTGCCCCAAACGGAAATCCCGGACAGGAATGTGCAACCGCATATGCGTCGCTTCGGCTTCCCGACCTGTGTCTGTAAGCGGCCTGGCACGTCCCTGAATGAGCCCTTTGTTGGTTGCATCTTTTGCGGCTCCCAGGGGTCCAAATTTCTAGCCGATTTTCCGCAACTCTTCACTTGACTCGCCGGTCCCCGCGGGTAACACGCCACTGGAAAACTCTATCTAGAGCTTCTCATCATGGATCGTCACGAACCCCATGGCCCCATGGGGAAACACGTTGACGCGGGGCCACCAAGGAACCGCACCTTACCTTTGAGGTAAAAAGTCAGAATCCGCACAGGGCGTTCGTTACAGCCTCATGCACGAGAAGTCATCCTGCTTTAGGTTGCCCCTTCATCAGTAAGATTCCCCCAGACTGTTACTTCGTGTCTTTTGAGTGAAGATGTACCAAGGTGTTATGAAGGGTTATGCACTGCATGTGTACTCAGTGTATTTGGAGAAAGGCGGTAAATCAAACGAATTTACTCCCACAATGTCCTGCCATTTGAAAACCAATCTCTGTTTCACACTAATAATGTACAGGGCTTAACTTAAGTCTCTTGTGTATTCAATGAGATAAGCTCACATGTCTCCAAGGTTCCGAGTCTGAATTCTAGCCTTCTCGGCTATTTCATGCACAATATTCAGCTTCTCAATGACTCCGTCGAAGTGCGAACGTCTTCCCATTGTCTCATCATCCTCGCGAGCGAGCTTCTCAACTTCTTCATCAGTCAGCATGAGGACCCAGTCCGTGGATAATCCTAAGAGCGGCCCCTTGGAGTAAGACACGAAATCTTCGACAATGTCGTTGGTGATGTATCTGATGAAAGCCTCGAGGGAAAGCTGAAGGCCGTATTAGAAATTTCTGACAGATGTAGAATAGCAAGGGGCTCGACTTACTTCGTAATAAACTTTAACATCATGCACATCGTTAACCATGTTTCCTTCGCTTGAGTGGTGGATTTGACGGAAGAGAGTCTTTGATCTGTTCAGGTCCAGACTTTCTCGAAGCTCAGGACTGGAGCCAATCGCTCTAAGAAGCCGAACAGTCCGTAGTGTCTGCAGCCTTTCGTGAAACCTTGCGTCAGTCGTCTGTAGGTGAGATTCTCGCTCTCGACGGCAATGATCCTTGAGCTCTCGAAGTGCTTTCTGCTTGGCTTCTTGCTGGAAATGGGTGAGGGCTCGAGCCAGCTCCTCGTACAGGATCTTCGAACAATTCTCGGGCGAACAAACATCTTCGAGAATCCAATTAGAAGCCGTCTCTACATCATCGGCAATGTTTTCGATGTGCTTTTCTGCAATCCGTTGCCACTGCTCTGATTGCGTTTTGTAGAGAATTTAAATGACTTCTGTGTTCACCATCCCGGGGAGCTCTGTAGTTTGCCAAATGTGGAGCTGCTCACGGATTTCATCCACGAAGGACGGCACGCGGGTGGGCTGAGGTTTGGTATATAGTTGCGGCGTCAGTCCATGTCGCTTCTTAGGCGGTGTCGTTGGTGGCGTCGTAACCTGCTCTTGCCCGGTTGGTGGTTGTGGACATGGAGGTGACAAGACGGTGATAGTTTCGGAGAGCTGGGTCATAGGGTCTACCCCATGGTCTTCAAAGGTGTACGTATGACCACGTGCAAGCATTTGAGATGAAAAGCTCTCGTTTGCCCGACGCACCAGTCCTCTTACGCGTAGGCTATCCTTGGCCAGGGATCCGGGGCTCTTGAGAGTCTTGGTTGCCATTACATGGTACCTCTCAACCATATCCCTGATGTATTGCTGACGGAGACTATGACTTGGACGAGGCTCGCCTAAGCTCTTCCTGCTGTCTTTGGCATCCGATAACAACCTCCGGACTGACTCTTGAATCGCGGGAAAGTTACCTCGAATCTGAGCGCAGAGAAGGTTGCCGAGATATTTTTGCAGCTGCACAGAGCCTCGTCGATTCTCTGGGATCCTATCCCAAGGCGAGCAACTGAAGAGTTTGCGTTCAGCTTCTTTGAAGTCAAACTCTTCACCATCGGCGTCAGATCGGTTTCTCACTACAAATCAACCGTCTTTCATGGATCTTGTAGAGTCTTTGCCATATCCACTGGCGATATCAATAACCTTATAAAGATCAGCAAGCTTTTAACAGCATGAATTTTAGCCGCAGCTCACCTCAGTTGGATCCTCCAGCCTGTCGCACTTGGTGAAGACTCCAACAAGACGACTCTTCTCGACTAGCTTGGCGGCCATCTTGAAGATCTCTTGAGTGGACAAATCAGCCGTAGCGGCGGCCACGCATCTGCTGCTCATTAGTCTCGCAAATGGCTAAAATTTGAAATTCAACTGACATTACGATGTTCGCCGGTTGTCTCATGTACTCCCCAACCATCTGTCTTGCGCCATGCTCCTCGTCCTCATTGACATCATGAGCGTAAGAGAAGATGCCAGATACATCGAGAATGCTGAAGTGCGATCGGAAAGGGCCCGAGAGTTCATTCCGAAGAACTTGTGAAGCAAAGTTCTTGGTAGCAAGTTTTTGGCCTCTCTTGATTCCCATGTACCTAGTAGTGATCCACAAAGCTTGTAAGAGACAGAGATATGAAGGAAATGGTTTATTAGGGCTTGCAGTTTCCATGAGTTGCGTAAACTCTTCGACGCCTAGATGATCGGTGACATAAGGCGGAAATTCTTTGTACGTATCATCCGGTGGATAGCCAAATTTGTCAGTTATCCCATCGGGTGCGGAATAGCTCCATTTTTGCCAAGGGCGGGGTAGAGCCAATAAGGGCTTCTATATTAATCAAGCTAACCAATAGAGTAAAAGTACCTCTATTACCTATAGATTTTGGGTATACCACAAGTACCAGCAGTCTCCCTCAATGCAAAGAGCTACATTACAGTCGTGTTGTTGTTGTATTTGTTGTTGTATTTTAACGCCGTAGCGGCAAGGGCGCAGCCGCCCTTGCGGCAGACCTCCCGAAGGGTATATGGCGTGGAGGGCCGTAGGCCTATAGCTATCACTAGATACAGTCCAGCTCGTCCTCCAAATCGTGCCCAAAGGCAACTATGTGTTTAACCTGTCTCTGGGTGCCGCTGGCTTGCCCGAGACAGTACTATGGTCGTCCCTAGAACGCAATTCCGCCAGTATCTCCTATCCTTCGACCCAGAGCCCGCAGGCTTCTGGTTTACACAACGTTCCAGTAACCGTCCGGAGTATATCGTAATAGGTAATACCGCCACAAGGGAAACCACAAGGGGCAAAACCTCGTAAGACTAGGTTGTAGGGCTTGCTGTTAGGTTCTGTAACGAGCATAGCTGTATATAGCCGTGGCTATCCCATCGAGTGCCAATTGGCAACAGGTACATTATGCCCAGTTTTGACCCACTTTTGCCCCCTCACCGCGGGAATACATGACGGTACGTCATCAACCCCTATATTTTCCCAGCTGCGTTCACCACCACAACTAACATTTCTACAGATGGGCAACTGTCGCGATGTCCTCAAGCGACTCTGATGCGTCTGATTCGTCAGCGCTTTCACATATCACCGTCGCAGTACTTCCCGAAGACCTTGATAGCGCCTGTACAGCTCAATGTAGGCCCGAGAGGTGTGATAACGCAACTGTACGCCCACACGAATCGCCTCCGCTAGAAAGGGGCACACCGGGCCAATTCAACCCCCTCGACGTGCCCTACCGCGCCGCAACAGTACGGGGTCTATCTACTACCCCTTTAGAGCTTTTTCAGCAGTATGTGCCTTTGAGGCTGGTTGAATCGTGGGTACAGTGGACCAATGAAGCCGCAGTACGAGGCCCTGTTCAACAACACTCACGATCCCACAGAAAAAAGACGAGGTCAGGGTGCCTGCAGTGTGGAGTAGCGCTTTGTAACTCGGATGATTGCTGGTACCTCTTTCATAGTCAGAGTATATAGACAACAGAAGTATCCATAATCTAGGCTTTTTGGTTGGCTAGAAGAAGTCTTGGCTGTCTCCTGAGTGGTCAGTTCCCCTCAAGGGCATGTACCTGTTGCCAATTGGCACTCGATGGGATACATCGCTACCCAATGGTCGTTTCGTCTCTTCGAGGGAGTCTTCGATCGTTTAAGGGGCAAAGGTGCTGAGAGAGCGAAGTCGAAAAGTCGGTCGGTGATGTTCAATTTGGGCCCGGAAGCGCCACTTGCGCCGGGAAAGAAAGTCGCCCGTCTCCTTCGGGAGGCTAGATGGAACCTCTGCTCCCTGCCCTACCAGGAAGACTTCGTCTAGCCTGCGGAAGGCGAATTCGAGTCGACGGCGGCTCGTTAGGTTGAATAATCGTCGGCTCGATTCGAGGGGAAAATGTGCGTTGTTAAGGGTTTGATTAGCGTATAGCTAATCCACCCCAGCGCGCAGCGGCAAACCGCGGGGACTGGGGCCCCTCCTTAGTATGGCACTAACAGCCCGTGCCAAGCTGGAGAGATGTTTCGTGGAGGTTGACATTACAGTCTAAGCAGCCCTTCCGCGTCCTTTTCTTCTATATAAGGCTATTCCCAAATACTATACCTAGGGTCTGGCGTCGGGCCCTTAATACCCCCTTATTACTATAGTAGGAACAAAGTAAGTTAGCTCCCCTTGATCCCTTCCTATGGTATTCCCATGGAATAGAAGTATTCCTTTTATCTGTAGCCCGTCCAAGTCGCGAATGCTTCCGCCCCCCTGCTAATGGTCCAAACTGCTGGATAAGCTAGGCTGCAAGCAACTGCCGCCATTGGTAATAGGACTTCACCTTTTACCACCTAGGGCTGCCTCAGAGCTGTAATAAGAAACTATTTACAACTACCACTTCCAGTAGGAAATTCCAAGTAATTGACTACCAGCCTCCTCGACGAATAGGGTGGCTATATTGATAGTAGGACCTCATCTGGTCACTCATATCAACCCCATTCATCTTATGATTGTACTCATCAATTGCCCTAGGGATTGGAAGGTCCTTGCGGACGTCTAGTCCAAAGACTTACCGGGCAGTCTTTTTAGCAGCAGTGTCTCCAGTTGGGCGGCGGCGGCTGCGAATAACTTCCTGGCCGTCCTAGAAGACAGTTGACAGGAAGAGTACGAGGGCATTATCCTTCCAGGTGAATCGATTGACCTAATTCCTAGTTAGCTGGGCTGGCCAGGGCTGGGCAGGCTAGCAGCTTACCTCCCCATCTAAAGTAGGGATACAGTGTATTTCCCCCCAGGGGATACCCCGTCCTTCAGTCTCTTTCTCGGCAACTAGGATCTTATCTATCCCACTATCCTTCCGGCAGGTACCAGAAGCTCCAACTTGTTGATTCCGTAGGGTACGAAAGAGACGTATAGAGGCGAAGAGGTTGTCAAGAAATACGTAGTAGGTTGCAGCTGGTAGTAGGGAAACAAGAGTAGTTACTACCTATTACATTGGTGTCAACAGAGCCAGCTTTCCAGCAGCTGCCCCGGCTAGCCTAGCCGACCGGACAGCCCGGGCGGGCTGGGTTAAACAGGCTGGCTGGGCTGGCTATGCCTGAGGGACTAATGCGTATGGGCCCTTCCCATATACGTACCACAGCCACCGTATACAGTAGCCAGACTAGGCAAGGATCCAGATCTTATAGCCAGTTAGGGTAGGTTTCGTTGGAATCGTTGTCGTCTCAAGAGATCGACCTATAAATCGGACCATAGCCTCGTCAACTATAAGGTCTAAACCGGGTATATAGAGGAAATCCCCAGTCTCTTGAATCTGGGCTGACCATTAGTTAACCTTCCGATATACATCTAGCATTTGATCTTAGGCCCGGCCCCGGCCCCGGCCCCGGCTGGGCTGCCCGGACTGCCCGGGCTGGAATTCCGCAGTATCGAATATCCGTAGTCGTCGGAGCAGTAGTTGAAAACGGTCCCGGGATATAAACCGCGTAAATAGGTGGATAGGATCCTCCTTTTGCTGCTGGGTCGACCAGTAGGTTGATAATCTAGGTTCCTTATGGATCCCTATATATAATAGGATCCCTAAGAAGAGGTAAATCTCGTCTGCTGAAGTTTTCCTCCACTCATATATCCTAGCTCGTCTAGCCCTTGGGCCCTCCTTAGATAACGGTACTACATTCGTCCACTATACCCACTACTCTACGAGGCTCTACGGAACGTATTAAAGGAATAGTTCAAGCGGGCTTGCCGGCAGCCCCCGTACCTCTTAGGCCCGGGCCGGTACGTCAAAGGGCTAGAAGGAACCCGGAGGGCCGTATTCAGTAGCCGTAAGGCCGGACTATAGCGGCATCACAGCGCTTGGCCGTACAGTCTATATTACAGGCAGTAGTAAGGTTTTCTGGATGTACCTCAACTACTATACAGCTACGTACAGAAGTATTAGAAGCAACCGAGGTATCAGAATCATCAGAAGACATCATAGCATCAATCAAAATGTAAGTCATAGTGGTGATAACAGGTAACAGAGCATAGGGAGAAGTGACGTATCGTCAAGTACCCCTTTAAATGCGGGGTTATAATGGGTAAATAGTGGGTACTTTGGGGCTTGGCAAAAATGGAGCTATTCCGCACCCGATGGGATATCAGGCTCGACATTTGGCACCTTGACAGAGCTGCGACTTCCAGGCGCGGTTCTCCGAGATACAATCCTTGTGGCGAAGCGAGTGCAGCAGCCAGAACCAACTGGAAAGGGAATATCGGTCAAGCTCTGAAGCAGTGACGACTTTCCCGTGGATTGACCACCGACAATGACCAGCTGAGATGGGGATCAGCTTGAAAACTTTGGCAAGGTGCTAAGGGATGGGCCGATCTCACCTGGGGAATAGCCAGCTCTTGGCTGACTCCACAGGATTAAAGCTTGTCAATGGCATCGAACAGAACCCTGCTGCTCTCGCTGTCGAACGGATTTTCGGGAATGACATCAGCTTCGTCTTGTTCGCCATCTTTGTCGGACGTTGGGGAGGCTGCCTCAGAGCCAGCGGCAGAGTCGACCTGCGACTCAGGGCTGACACCGACTGGTGACATGGTGTCACGAAAGAGGTATAGCAGTGGATATCTCAGGGGTAGAGATAAGGGATAGACAGGGGTATGGGCATACAAAAGGTGCTCCCTCGAGGGCTTCCCTTTTCCCCTTTTCCATAGTTGATTAGACCACAGTTGAGATCCCGATTTCCATGAGCTACTCTATATGCTGATTCGTGACACATGGCAAAATATGACGGTTTGCGTGCGAACTCGAATAAGCCAGACGTAGTTGAAGGGGTTGTGAATTCGGCCATGCTCAATAGAGTGATGAGTTTACAAGATCAAGGGGAGAGCGATAGAATTGCGGATTGACGAAAGTGAAAGTTGACTTGATAAAGTTCAGACAAGATTGCTTGAACGGGTGAAGTCTCTTGATGGTGTCGGTGAAATATGAAAACTGGCCGCAGGTATTCTTCGAGAAGGAACACAGTCAGAGCGAAGCCCAAGAGGCCTTTATACCAAAAAGGGGGGTGAAGAGTTCGATAGCCATTCTTCTCTGACTAACATTGTCGGTCAGACTAGGAGAGAGGCACTATCGTCAGCCCTTGGCAGTTTCCGCCTGTGAATGTATCCCGACAAGGCAGATTCATTGCAGACACGTGGCATGGAGGCAGCGACCTTGGCATTGCGAGGCAATGTTAAGCAATCGAAGTTGACGCTGATTGGATCATCAACCCAATTGAGATGTAGGCCGAATCTGGATGCAGGGGCTGTTTGAGGTCGGATAGCACCATGTTATTGGTAGCAGGTTGGATCAGGGGCTTTTGAGGAGGCCAGGAACGAGAATTAGTTCATCAACCAACACATTCTTATCTACCCTAACAGGCCCGACACAGTGGTTGCGAAACCAGCTGAGCCCGACCCTGGCATCAGCCACGCCGATGTAACAACGTCTTGAATGCAGTCAATAGAAATGGGGGTTTACCGCCGTGCCGGGCCGTCTCGGGTGGGACCGCAACGGGCAGGTCACTCCGTCCCGACCGAACCAACAGAACATGAATTTGCTCCTATTCCTCGAGGATAGGAAGATCGAAACAATCGACAAGAGGTTGTTGAGGTCAATCATGAAACAACCTAGCCTTTCTGCAGCCATATTCAACCACACTCTTGACCCCGATTTGGCTCCTGACCAGACGCTTTCGTCGGAATACAGAAACATAAGTGTTGGATCTCTTAGCAGTCGGCAGAAAAGATGGATCCGGAAGGCGGTATGGGCACTTACAAATGGCCCTTCCACTTATATACCACTTCTGGGAGATCGTGGGCTCTGCCCACAATCTCCTCCTTCCACCTCAAGACGCAGCAATAATAGACCATTATTGACACTTCGTTCCAACCGTACGGTTGCCCTGCTGACGTGTATACCAACAATAAGCCCGTACATAGAGGCTTAGCCACTAAGCAGTTGATGAAGGGGCCGGCACAGCACAATTTTGGGACACATTGGAATTCTGCAACGTGCGATACCTAAGGTATGCCCCTGACGGGCCTAGGTTTCGCTCCTGATCTAGAAATTGTAATCATATAGTGACCGTTGGATACAACATCATGAGCCTCCTTCCGCGTTACGCCTTCTCCGTGTGCCTTGCGGCCACAACTACTCCGCCTTTTTCGCCGTCCTCCGGCGAAGCCTGAAACATGTCCTCCGCCTTGTACTTGCCGAATTTGCGCAGCGGGACCCCTTCATTGAACATCCGGTCGATCTGCTCAAGAGACTTGCCCTTGAATTCAGGGATGCAGAACCACGTAAAGACAAGCGCCAGCACCAGGATTCCCGCAAAGATGAAACCAACCTTTGAACCTAATCCTGCGCCAGGGGTATAGAGCAGGTACGGGATGCTAAAGTTGACGAGGAAGTTGGCCAAGACATTGACCATTGACGCCGTCCTTTGAGAGGCATCGCGCAGTCGGAGGGCGGGAATCTCGGTCGTGACGACATAGTTTAGAGGCGCCCATGCAAAGACATAGCCGGCGGCAAAGACCGTCAGCATGGTCACGATGCTTGTCTTGACGGCGAATGATGGGTCTGCCACAGTACCCAGTGATCCCATGGTTACAATGGCGGCAAATTGCCATACTGCACCGATCAAAAGAAGAGGTCTGTTGGGTTGTAAGGTCAGTACATGGATGGCTAAAGAGGCACGACAGATATGGTCCAGTCTACAGTAAGGTAGATCAAATACGTACCGACGTCCCACGCGATCATTTAGGTAAAGTCCGACGAAGACCATGCAAAGGTTTACGACGGCATTGATGATGGTCATGGTAAAGGGATTGACCGTGCCGATATCCTTGATGAAGATTGCACCGTAGGTAGAGGCGAAAGCCTGCCCAGTTGCTTGCTGAAAGAAGTTCATGGCCATCACGATCCCGGTTCTCTTCAAGTTGACACCCTTGAAGAGCTCCATATAGTTCCCTTGTTCGACTTCCTGTTTCAGTGCGTACTGGAGGACGGCGAACTGTTCATCGATCTCGGAGTCTGGGATGGTGCCGGCTCGGAGTTTCCTTAGAGACGTTTGGGCTTCTTCGACTCTGTCCTGGGTCAACAGCCAGCGAGGCGACTTGCATGAAAGTTAGCCTGTGAAGTGAGTTGGAAGGGGAAGTTGTGGTCGGATTGAGCTTACCTCGGGGATAAAGAAGATCAGTCCCATGACGATGACAGGAATAACGTAGAACAGGCCCATGGGAATCCGCCAAGATGCATTGCCATCCAGGGTGCTAGTTCCTCTGCAGATAGAGTTGACGATCAGAGTACCGAACTTGACAGAACAATGTTAGTTGCGCAAGTCTATCAGTTGATTGGACATTGAAAGCTCACCATCAAGCTGAATTGGTAAGAGCCGACTGCAAATCCACGAATCTCCGAGGGAACAATCTCGGACTGGTAAACCGGAACCACAGCGAGTTCCATACCAACGTAAATGTCTTCATCTCAAGTCAGCGATTATGGTCGGGAATCAGTGCGGCATAAGACTTACAGTTGAGAATGCGCGCGGCCATAATCTGCTCTCTGGTGCTCGAAGTTATCGCGATTGTCGCAGGGATCACGGCCCACGCACTCATTGCGAATATACACCACCGGCGACCCCAGCGAGCACTAACGAGACTACCAATAATGACGCCGGCCGCGAAGCCGATATAGTTGAGACTGTTGAACAGGGCGAGCCAGCCGGTAGGAAGCTTCCACTTGCCAGTTGCGGGATTCTGGTCGCCAAACTGGCGCTGGAACGCGTCCATCGCCTGGGTTGTTGAGTAGCCAGCATTGTCGAAGCCGTAGTTGAAGGTTGAGACGGCGATGACGGTAAAGGCCGCAGCCAGAGTGCCGTTGAAGTGTTTGAGAATCCGATTGGGCGCCATTGCAAAGGGAGATCTCAGAGATCTTTGTACGACTGTCCGGTTAACCTCAGCTCCTTGCCTCAAATGACAGGGTGCCTGGGGTGAAGTTGGCGATGCATTCTCTGGTCTTTAAGTATCCAGACGCGTTGAAGGAATCAAACTCTACGCCTCGTGGTTATTACGTTGCTACGTCGTTCCCTGTCGAGTGGAGCCAGGGATCCCCGTTAATCTGAGCTAATCACCCCTTTCACTGGCAATAGAGTCGTCCGATCAGACGCACGAGACGAACAAACACATGGCGGAGGAGGTTTCCCCAACTTGGGGAACCCACTAGGGAAGCAAGCCGTTCATGGCGCTAGGGATGAATTCCTGGAGGAGAGTGGAGGAATGGAGAAGCCACGGTGCGACGGAGGGGTTCAGCAACGAGGTCCAGAAGGAAAATCTTTTGCGGGTGAAGGACCCGGTGACCGCCCGCTTGGGATTTTGGCGTTCGACTAGGGTAGCCCCGGGGGCCGGAACTCGGGCGGAGGGGAGAAAGTCAAAATCAACGCGGAACTCGGGCGGAAGACATGTCATCTCTTCTTCCCCCGACTTCCCACCCCGTCCCCCGACCTTATGCATCTACACTCTTTTGAGCAGAAAATACTGCGGGTAAGACTCATACATGGAGACGCCTAATCCATATCGCGCTTCGGGTCGGCCCCGAAAAGGGTTGCAGATATGTTTTCAGTGCCGGAACCGCAAGGTAAGTCGCGGTCAACTTGCACCCGGAGTCTCCCTGCCGCGGTCCTTCGGGAAGAGGGTCTCCTAACCCGTAGCCGATAGGTCCGATGTGACGGCGCACCTGGAGGTTGCGAGAACTGTCGTCGGCTCAAGTTCCATTGCTCCTTTGCAGCACCAGATCAGTTACCGGATGCTGCAAATTCTTCCACTCTCAACAATAGTGATCCAAGCCATCTGAGACTGGAGAAGCGTCGCGTGCGCACTGCTTGCGTACAATGCCGTGACAAGAAGACAAAGTGCTGCGGCACGCAACCCTCGTGTCGGCGATGCTCTTACCGGGGCGTTGACTGCCAGTACCCAGACATGTCTAAGTCATCATCAACCAGAAATCCAGCCTCGGATCTCCGATCCCAACCGTCTGCTGCAGTGCGTGGTGGTTCGGAAAACAGTATGGATAATAGAACTTCGTCTATGCATCGAGACTCCTCCGTTGCGCACTCTCCGGCATCATCACTTGGGTTGTAAGTTAATTGTCTTGCAAGTCAAATAAAGACATGTCCGTTCGATTTCGCTGAAACTTGTTCTCTTGTGCAGCGAGTTGAACTCAAACAAGACGATTATCAAGCAACACATCGATGCTTTCTTCGACTTTGTTTATCCAATACCTTGCTATGGCTTCATCCATAAGGCCACTTTTTGCCAAAGTTGGGCACAGGACACCTACAACCCACGCCTTCTAAAGGCAATGTGTGGTCTCACAGCCCGCTATATCGCGGCAGGGGATACCAACCGTCTACAACAAGCAACGAGATGGATCCAAGAGTCGGAAATGCAGCTCCTTATGCGGCTTAGTGAGCCTTCCATGTCGGATATCGAGGCACTCATGCTCACTACACTGGACCACATCATTGCTCGTCGATTCAGCAAAATGCTAGTATCTGCATGCCTCGCTGCAAGGCTAGCGTTCATGATGCGACTCAACTACGAGGATGGCCGCTTGAGTTTCCTCACTCAAGAGCGTCGCCGGCGCCTTATGTGGGGTATCTATACCATGGAGACGCTTTACTCCAGTGGAAGAACAGAGTTCACCGGTTGTCCGAAGGAAACAATACACCTACAACTTCCCTGCCATGAGCGGTCTTTCAGTTTAGATATTCCCGTAATGACGGAACCCTTGAAGCCTCCAGAAAACCAATGTTGTTTAGAGCTAGGTTTGATGGCGAACAATATCCGGGTCCTCGACATTCGAGATCGGATACAAAGGTATCCGCTCATTCCATCCACCTGGACGATCTAACCCGAGCCCCCAACTAACCAGTACGGCTAGGTTATCTCATACGATCACGCATCATCGAAAGCCTTTGCTCGAATGTGTTTCGCTACTGAAGGGGCTCATCGAAGAACTCGATGCGCTGCGTCGATCGCTTCCGCCACAATTCGCGTTCGACAAAAAGAACCTCTTTCTCCGAGCCTACACCCCACAATGTACCCCCTTTGTCATGTTCCATACCTGGTGGCATCAGTGCCAATGCGACATGTACAGGTTCACGATACCAGGCTTTCGGGAAGGTCTCCCCGTGGAAGAGTTGAGAACTTTGCCTCAAGACTTGGTCTCCTTTTGCAGAGACAAGTGTCTCCAGCATGCGCTTGCTGTTGCCAACATCATGGCCACAGTGACTGACATGGAGAAAGACATCTTCATCACAGATCCAGCCTTGGTGATGTGTACTTTCCACTCCGCCCGTGTTATCTCAAGGCTTGGTTCAAGCCAGTTCGCCAACATGCCCAAGGATGTTCTGATATCCAAGCTGAAGGCGTGCTCGGATATTCTCGAGACGCCAGCTGAGATATATCCTACGACTAAGCTTCTGCGAGGTGGCATCTCAGACCTTATCCACGATGTGGAGCGCGACTCTGGGGACTCGAGTCCGCTCAGGTCGAATTGGGAGGCCGAACAGCCAGGATCTGAAAACGAGGCGACCGGGGCTCAACAACCTGGTATCCAAAGAGGCGCGCAGGGCTCAGTCCCAGAGGTGTATTCAAAGTACAGCGTAACGGACGAGATTCGGAAACTCAAGTTTCAACAAGACGGCGAAGAGGATACTAGGGAAGAGTACCGGTCAGGCGAGCAAGCAACAGGGGTTGGCGCAGATGGTGTCACACCTCAGCAATTCATGATGCCGGATATGTCAAAGGAGCATGGCTCGCAGCCATACATGCCAATGCCTCAGGATATGACAGCCAACGGCTTTGGCTTTTCAGAAGCCGGCTTCGGTGCAAGCGCGGCGCCGTACGATGTGTCAATGACTCTGGGTTTCGAACCAAGTTACGGGGAATGTCAGCCAGACTTGTTTCTGGATACCTTCATGCCTCTCCAAAACGACTGGAATATGGCTGATTCTGGGTGCTTTTAATACTCGGTGGCCCCAACACAAGGGATTAATATGGCAATGCTCTCATTGCGATGATACTCCGATGATCGTTCTCGACGGCCTTGGTGTACTGTAGGCTTCATGAAGCTATCGCGGAGTATATCATGCTCTTGATGACCTAGGGGCTATGCATGAACCATGTCTAAAGTCCGTTTAAAGCAACAGATTCCAAGTACTACTTGTAAACAACATTAACCACGCAAATGTTCATACTTGCTCATAGTCCACTCCAAAACATGTCCTTCTCAAGCTTGAAGGAGCCATCCAAAGCCGCGCCTCCTCCTACAACTGAAGCAGTGTACCGTCCCTTTTCACAACACCAGCTGTTTCTCTTCTCATCCCAAACAGCCGTGCTGTACCTAACGTGGTTCATCAGTCAGCGACGAATATCAGTCAGCGACGAACTTTTTCCCATGCTGTGGGACTGTGGATACCTGAGGCAGTGGCTGGTGCCCCAGGCACCAGCTGCCTGATCCACCTCCTGGTTGATCCAGCCCACCGCAGCCACCTTCACCACAACATCACCAACCAACCGTCAATACCAGTCGTATTGCCTCATTGCTTGCCTCGTTGGTCCAGATGAGCAGTGTGTACTGCCCACACATGCACGTAATGGTATTTACTATTGCACAACCACAACACATTGAGTTAACTATTCCTCATTACTACTCGAATTATTTGACAATTCCGTATCCTTAGAACAGTTTCGCGCATTATGACCGGTCTCGCTACACACACCACAGCGTCTCCGAGCTGGCTGGGCTCTCTTTGATGGACCCCCCTCCTCATCCTCTTGAGGTGCTGGACGTTTCCCTTTTTGTTTCCCTTCAAGCAAAACCTGAGATTCCTCTATACTAAGCGCCCCTCCAAGCTGGACCTGCGTCCTTTTAGCCCTCCGGCGCTTACCAAGTGCAACATTCGCATCCTCAAGGGTACGAAGCCGATCAGTCAAAAGAGTGATTGAGTGCGCCATTGCCTGCGCACCCTTTGACAATTGCTCAACTGCAGCAATAATTGGCGTTGGTGAGCTTCCTTGATGAGCAGTGATCCGACTTTTGATAAAATTGGACTGCGAGACGGTTTGTTGTGGGTTAGAGGGCGTTTGCGACTGCCAAGGTGGTGGTGTTGAAGGGTTGGCCATAGGAGGTGTAGGCGTCCGTAAACGTACATTAAGCTTTTCAATGACATGCTCTGGGTTCCATGGTGAAATTCCAGCGCCTTGAAAAGCAGCCCTAATGTTTTCTTCCTCAATCAAAACTTTGTTGTGGGCCTGGTAGAAGGCAATAAAGAACTCCGACTTGGTGATGTGGTTTATGGAGGCTTTGATGAATAGGTTGATTTCATCACCATATGCGCGTTTTAAAGGCGAATAAAGGGCAATATCCAATGGCTGTAGTAGATGTGACGAATGTGCAGGCATACTGACGGTTATAATATTGTTCTGCTTGCAGTAATTGTCGAATTCGGCCGATAAATGGCTCTCGTGGCCGTCGATAATAAGCATCCGGTAGACGCCCTTCGTTTGGTTCTTAGTATGTTTGTCGAAGTGTTTAATCCAGTCAAGACCCGTCTGATTATCCGTCCATCCATTATTGGTAGGTTTGATAACCCAGTCGCTAGGAAAACCTGATTCCGTGGTCTAACTAGCAAGGTGATATGCGCCTTTGACAATCACGAACGGAGGGATGCACCACCCGCCCGAATTGATACATTCAATGACTGTAGCCCATTCACGGTTGCCAGGCTGGACAGACTTTGCTTTGCCACGTCGATCAGCGCGTGTTACTACTATTGACGCGGTGATCATGCCCATCATAAAGCCAGTTTCGTCGAAATTATATAGGTCCCCCTCTTGGATGCCATACTTGACCATCATATTGCGTAACAGCGCAAACCACTTTGATATAACCTCAGGAACTTCTTGAAGAGCCCTTTGATAATCGTATGGACGATTAAACTTGGTTTTGAGAGCAGGCTGCGAGTCCACAAACCGCCTGGCCCATCGCTTGCCAACAGGCTTGCCATTACGCGCTCGTAGCAGGAGATTGGCCATATCTTCCACACCAGCGAGATGCAAGGGAAACCCTCTTTGATCCTGCTCAATAACGTATTGGAGAAGCGCTTTCTCTTCGATCGCATCAAGTTTATGTCGTTGGGGTTGGGCACGTTCGCGTCGGGGTCGATCGTTCATTCTATGGCATACGGAACTTTCGGGGACACCGTAAGTCTTCGCAGCACGCAACATACTTAGTTTTCGGCCGGCGGTGCGGGCTGATCGGATAGTCTCGATGGCTAGAAGTATCTTGTCTTCTTGTGTGTAAATTGGCATAATGGTTGTGGAGTTATTACGCGTCAAAGGTTGGAGTGGTTTAATGCAAACCGCATTTGGGAAAAAGTTCGTCGCTGACTGATATTCGTCGCTGACTGATGAACCACGTTATAGATAGAAATGGAGACATTCTTCCTCTCTCCGGGCTCCAAGAAAACCTTTCTAAATCCAACGAGTGAACGGACGGGACGCGCAAATCGTGACTTGGGGATCACTGTCGAGTAGCTGATGTACAAGCGGACAACTTCCGCGCCGGCCATTCGCCCAGTATTCTCTATGCTGAGGTGAACTCTGGAGGCTAAAACCTGCATCTCCGAAATTTGGAAGGTAGTGTAACTCAAACCATGACTGAAAGAACTGTTAGCTTGCAGGCTTCAAGTTCAATACAAACGAGCCAACGTACCCAAATGGAAACGCAACCTCCATCTTTCTCGCTTCGTACCACCGGTACCCCACAAAGATGTCTTCGGAGTAGTACACCGTGCCGTTGTCGCTGCCGAATCCAAGATATGCAGGATTGTCTTCTAGCCGAGCTGGGAAAGTCATTGGCAGCTTTCCACTAGGATTGATGCGTCCAAAGACAACGTCCGCCACGGCGTTGCCCGCTTCGTTGCCGCCGTACCAGCTGTGAAGCATTGTGATGGCACTATGTCTCCATGACATGTCGATTGGGTTCCCGGCTTGAGTGATAACAATGGTGTTCGGCTGTGCCTCCAGAACAGCTGCGATGAGGTTATCCACTTGTGGTCGCATGTTCATCGTGTCTCTGTCTTTGCCCTCCTTTTCCAAGTCCGCCTAGAGTTCAGTTTTTCGTCAGCTTTGTAAATGCATTCCCGGCCGAGGAGTTCCTCACATTTAGTCCGGCAACGACAAAAGTGTGTTTGCATCTCTTTGCCAGTTCGACGGCTCTTTGGATCCCCTCTTCAGGGTCAATCTTGCGGCAGCCACCCAGCCGACACGCACCACCGGGGATCGCCAATAGCGAGCCGCCCTTCACTTTCGACGTCGCAGCACTACCGGCCTCAACGCGTAGACAATATCGCTTTCCAGCAGTCATCTCGTATGTTATTCGCTTTTCGGCTGAACCCTTGCCGAAGAACATGCCTCCTGGCGTTTGCCCTGTTGAGTTGTCGATGACCGGCTCATCATTGATGAATAGGTCGCCGATGCCATAAGTGGCCAGGCCAAATTCGTACGTGCCAGAGTGTTCTGGGACAAACTGAGCGCGCATGGACATGAAGAAAGTGTCTCCTTTCTTGGGATGCTCATAGTCCATGAGCTGATAGGTGGTGTCCGGTATTGTGACACGGTCAAACGCCGTCCGCTCTTTGGTTGAATGTGGTTCGTTGAACAATTCGATAGTTACACCTCCCCGGCCTTCGTCGTCGCAAACACTTTCTTCTGTGAACGGTGGTAACAAAATATGCCCGTAAACACCAGGCTCATGGTGTACCTTGGCTGTAGGTGGTAGAGAGTCCCAGATCCCCTTTAGTACGGAGCTGGTGTAGTAGGGCCGGAGACTTGCGCTGCCTCCTCCGCATGCAGCTGCGAGCTCGGCATTTGGTCCGATGACAGCAACTTCACTGCAGTCTTCGGGTGACAATGGCAAGAGGTTGGCAGAGTTCTTTAGCAGCACGATACTCTCGCCTGCCAAACGACGATTCAGGGTCCGGTCCTCGGGAACATCTCGTATAGTCTCCTCCTTCTCGACACGGGCTGATGCCGCGTCGTTCACGAATTGCAGAACTTTTCGTGCTCGTTCGTCTATGGTGTGTTGGTGAACTTTGCCCGAGAAGACCGCGGCAAGGGCTTCTTTCTCTCTGTAACGACTAGGACCGGGCATCTCGATGTCAACGCCAGCGTTGAGCGCTGCCTCACAAGAATAAGTGCCGTACCTGAATGTGTTAGTTCCACATTAACACAATGTAGAAACAGAATGAAGAGAACAGTATGTGACGTACCAGTCACTCATGATGAGGCCATCAAACCCCCACTCTTTTCGCAGGATGTCTTGAAGAATCATGGGGTTCTCAGAAACATGCAGGCCACCAATCTTGTTGTAAGAAGACATCACCACTCTGGGATTGCTATCTCTAAGAGCGATCTGAAAAGGTAAGAGATAAACCTCTCGCAGTGCTCTTTCAGACATACGCACGTCAAGGGACATTTTCTCAGTCTCTTGATCATTAACCACAAAATGCTTCAGAGCCGCAAGAGTCCCCCGGGATTGGATACCCCTGATGATGGCTGCGGCAAGCATCCCACTCAGGTGCGGGTCCTCGGAGAAGGACTCGAATCCACGGCCGTTCAGCGGCGAGCGAATGATATTAACCGTTGGACCAAGCCAGACATGGGCGCCTTTAGCGTCGCATTCTTTTGACAATAGCTGGCCGGCTTGTGCGATCAATTCAGGATTCCACGTTGCTCCTAGGCCACTACCGCAGGGGATGCAGAGTGCGGACACAGGGTTGAAGAATCGTGAGCCTCTGACGCCATTGGGCCCATCGGTGCATTTGATGGCCGGGACATTGTACTGGGGAAGGGGAGTGGAGTGCCAAAAGTCGGAGCCTTTACCCGAAAGCTGTCAGTACTAGGGACTCGACTGAATGGAGTTCCCATTTGGGCCCATTTGGGGACTCTTACCAGCAAGCAACGACACTTTCTCTGCCAGCGTAGCGTTTTCGATGATCTGATCAATGTTGACAAGCTTTCGTGGAGGAGGCTGCATGTTTGATGAAGTTGACTCAAGATCTTGAGACACCATGTTCAACACATGCACCAACAAGTAGGACAGTATACGATCCAGAAATACTCAAATAGAGAAACTATCGAATTCGAAAAATGAGGTGAGCACTCTAGGCGAGAACTGAGAGGTATACGGACAACTGCCCGGATACCCGGGCCGCCGTTTCGGATGTCGGGAGCCGGAGCAGCCCGGAAGTCGCCATATTTGGTGCGATGCACGATGCGTGTGTGGAGTGAGCTATAATAAGCTACACTTTTGGGTGGGAACAGCATTGAGGGGGGCAAGAAAGTCAGACTTGCATGTGATTGACTGGGTAAGGTTAGAAGTAAACCTTTGGATAGTGGCCGCCAGACGATGTTCAAACATTACGGGGACTTGCAACTCGCACGGATTTCTGACTTCTCTGTATCCAAAGTCATGACATTTCGATTTGTGGTTGAGTCTTATCATTAGCTTTCCATTAGCTGTATTCACATTGAGCTGAGAATATACTCCCCTTCATTGGGTACATGTACTTAGTAAGATGCCGATTGCCGACTGCCAATGTGATGGAGATTATGATGACCCTAAGGTATATGAGCATACTTAGTATGCGGCAGGAAGGGAGGGACGGAAGTCAAGTGAATAATTTTATAAGCGGTTATCTACTCAAAGCACTGTGATTGATTCACGCACTCCACTAGAAAGCTCTGTGTACAAGTCATACGATGAAAGTCGAAATTTAGCCAAAAAGAGCAAGAGTTTGGCGATGTCCACCGTTTGCACTGACTGCAGCTCCATTGACCCAACGTCCCTCCTCACTCGCAAGGAAGCCAACGATGTAGGCAATATCGTCAGTGTTTCCGAGACGGGGACCAACAGTAATATACTCTTTCTGCTTTTCGATGAACTCCGGATGCGTTTCTCTCGCCTTGGCCAGCGCATCAGTCTCCGTGGGCCCAACCGCGACGCTGTTGAAGGTCATTCCCTTGTCTGAGGCAAAGGTGTCTGCAAAAGACCTCGTGAAGCTGTCGAGCGCGGCTTTCGTGGCTCCGTACGTCATGATTGGGCTCGGGTTACCCATCTTGCCAGCAATGCTGGAGATGTTGATGACGCGACCACCGTACTTGGGGACGTGCTCCATGAAGGCAGTTGTCAGGCTGACAGGAGTGTAGACATTTGCGACCATAATATCATTGAAGTCCTTGGCCTGGAGCGTCTTAACGTCCGACGTGTTGCTGATGTCGGAGAGAATCGCATTGTTGACCAGAATATCAATAGTCGTAACCTTGAGTGCGCTCAGGGCGTCTTTGATGATCTTTGGGGCGATTGTCGGATCTGTTGAATCTGCCTTGATGGCAACGGCGTTCCTGACACCCAGTTCGCGACACTTTGCCAGAGTGTTATCGGCAGCGGCCTTGTTCGCCACATACGTGATGGCGAGGTTTTCCAAGCCCTTGCGGGCAAAGTGTACGGCAATCCCACTGCCGATTCCTCGGGAGCCTCCGGTCACGATGGCAGTTTTACCCTTAAGAGACCACGGCTCAGCTGGAGAGGTCGTGCTAGCCATTTTTGATTATTGTCGATGATTTATTGATGAGAAGAAGTGGTCGTTGGTAAATTGGAACTTGAACAATGACGTGAGTGATGTTGGAAGAGGTCATTTTATTTACTCCCAGACTGTTGGGCGCGACAGTCCTCATAAAGATTCGAGCAATGTTACCGAGTACGAGCGGTTTTAAATTTCAGACGGTGATATCACCGAAGCACACGTAGGTTTGTCATCTTTGCTCGAGCATGGCGGACCGCGAAGTATGGATCCGGGGTATCTCAAACGTCCGAGCTGTGGACCTGCCGTCAAGTCCGCAAGCGTAATGTTGACGACCAGGGTGTCTCTTAATCATCAGTATTGGTATCAATACCATACCGTCGGGAGTTAGAAGTATCGATAGAAGCGTGCATAATGATCAACAATTCGACTGGAACTAATAAACCCGTTGTCTACGGCGTAACGGTACACTCTTACTACCTAAGGGAGACATGCTTTGAGTTCAGCTTCGTCCGTTCTGATCTCCAGTCGGAATACCTGATAGCTTTGCGTACTTTGGGCTTACATATTCTCCGCAGCCGCGCCTAAGTCATCTACGACTTTGGCTACCTGTGCGTCGATCACAGCCTTTGGCGTTGGCTGCTTGCGTCAATGTCGCTAGAACTATGCATTCCTAGTGGAGTTGCTCGCGGATTTTGTGCGGACTTGACTAAGCCTATTCGATCCATTAGAAAGTTGCACTGCAGTTTGGTCCACGCATGGTCAATGATAAACAATGCAGAATGCAAAGGGATGGATAACGTTACCTAATCCCCAAGTTAGATCACTTGTCCTTGCAAATGTACGTGATAGTCTATGTCAGCCTGGGTCCTCAAGAATTTTTGAGAAGCTTTGGAATCTTTGTCTCGGCACTGGGGGTCTGTTTCACCGCCTCATGACACTCGTGGAACGTCCCTAAGCCAATGATTCGGTGGTTGAGTTATCCGGTACGTCTGTTGTCATCAATCTTGACGATGGCGGTTCGCGGCAATTGCTAAGCCGATCCAAGACTCGGACGAACTCGGTGGGACATGGAGTTTGCGGAGGTTAGCGCCGGCGCACCTTAGCGGAGCGAGAAGTCAGCTACCATATGCCGCTGACCCGAGTCTCAATGACGATCCAGCGTTGTACTTCATGCACACTATCATCCTCCGGGAGGCGAAGGGCTCTGGCCCGGACAGAAAGCTGCTTTTGATTAACATTCTAGCTATTGACGGGTTTAACGCGCCTGTAGCAATTGGATTCTACTTAAGTCGCCGATAGGTAGCTGGGTGATACAGCTCTTTGAGCTCAACCCAAGGTAATGCTGATTGCTCACTCATTAGCCCCTCGACTTGCTATGGCACTTGTGGACACCAAAGTGCTTCCATCTCATCGGGAAAACGCTTTTGTGTTCTATGTCGGTTTCTAGGATTATCCTCTCACTCCGTCGGAGGCTGCCATGTTTGTAAGTCTTCCAAACTTAAACATCCCGATCTATTGTTTCTTCTGGCTAACGCCGAACGTTGTAAGATGCGGCCAATCTAAAAGTTTCATCAGCAAAGTACTCGACTATGAGTGAGAATGAAGGATTATTACCGAAAGTCGTTCTGTCCGGATTGACGTGGGAGACTCGCGCTCTCTGGCCAACACTCAATGTCTCGCCAACAGCTGACCCGAAGCAGTATCCGTAACGTCCAAATACAGGGCTGTATTTGGCACCCTTATCAACTCGGCGGTCTTTATTCAGCTTCTTCCATACCAGTCCGCGGTCATCACTCGCCGTCTTGCCAGTTTCATAGTCGACAGTGATACTTTGGCAGCGATAACAGTTGGCCGTCAGAGGCATCTGGACACCGCCGTCAAAAGTCAACTCGCCCCAGAAGTCCTCTACGAAAGGGCCGCTTGCACCTTTGACAACAACATTCGGACGGAACTTTCGAACATCCATCGTCAAGTCGCCCTCGAGGCGGGAAGAGACCTCCGCTGTGGACTCTTCGGTGACGACGAGGTAGTGCGCAAGGTCGTTGAAGACAAGACGCTCCTCGGGAAACCTGGTAAAGGGGATGAAGGACTTGAGACGCCGAGCAAGCCTGGCCTTTTTCAGTCCTCCTTTGCTGTTTGGTGCTAGAGATCCTAGGACAGGCCGTGAGCCGTTGCCAATGTAGGCAAGTCTTGCCTCAACCCCGAGGCGCTCCGAGAACCACGCCGCAAGTTTGTCGCCCATGTCGTAAGCCTTAGCCTGGCTCACGTGAAGACTTGTTTCAATCACCTCTAGCCTCTCTGTACTTGGCGATAGTCTGAATCGAATTTCGTCAGTAGTGGTGACGTTTGCTTCGTTGATTGTTTTGCCGTGCTCCGTTCCTCGGCCGTGCCATTGTACTACCACTTCTCCTTCGGTCGCATTTTCTTGCCTCCCGTTGTGCTCCATCGAAGCCCGGAACAATGCCATATAAAGGTAGTAGCCGATAAACATGGTTTCATATGTCTTCTTGGACGGGTCGGTCTTATCCCGAATGACCTTTTGCAGCGAAAACGTCCTATCTCCAATTAGGCCGTATTTGCCCAAATGTGCTCGTTGCACCGCGCATCCCCCAAGTCCTTTGATAGGATATATGTAAAGCTGTACAATTAGTGTTAGAATTATTCACATTTATTACTTTGACAAAGGGCAACAAGTTGTACTTGTGTGATTTCTAGCGGCTTGCTCGCTGCTTGCGGTGACCGGGCTAGCCGGATGCCCAAAACAAGAGCTACGATCGAGCATGCGACCAGCGCGACGGCAGTGCTCATAGTTGTCAAAGGATTGGGCGTCATCTGGACTTCAGCCCATGTCTCGTTCGTTGCCGGGTCCATTGTTGACTTGTCGTGAAGAGCTCACTCTCTATTGGGGATGGTTGTTGCCCATTAGAAAATTTGCAACCATTGGGTTCAACGCGGATTATGACCTCCAACCCACCGAATGAACTTCCGACGCGTTCTTTGATCTGCAAAACAAGGTTTGATCCCGGATAACAGTTACAGCTGTCACACAAAACAGCAAACCCGGTCATTTCAACTGCCGCTAAACCCCTTGAGGAAACTAGATGGACCAAATCTCGCAAACTTTCGAGCTTCTTCGAGCCAATTCAGCCCGGATCCCATCCGTGCTCAACCCCCTTTTCCCCCGCACAGCTTCCCCATCTCCCGAACCCTTCTCGAGACTTGGGAGGAGGGGCGTTGATACCAGACGGGAATCCGAACCCTGCTGATAGCAAACCACAACATCAGGCTTGGATCTCCACTCACCACTTATCTGCTATCGCGAACGTCGCCGAGAGACTACCCAGATTCGACATTGACGTAGCCTTATAAAGCATCAAGCTAGCCGTCTCTTGAACGTTGGCGTCCCAAAGATGCCCACAAATAGAGTCAGGGTCGTTGAGGGATCCTGTTGGCCCTGCAAGAAACGCCGCATCAAGTGCGACCTGACCAAACCCCGGTGCAATCGATGCTCCAAGATTGGCGCAGATTGCGACTTCAACGCTCGTCGCCTGAAATGGAGCACGCGGCCCACGATCAAGGCTCCGGCCATCTACCAGATCGCCACCAGAGACGCGCAGCTCGCGTCCTGTCTGGCTTCAGACGAACGGCGCGCCCTGGACTACTTCCACCACCGCCTGTGGCCGCTTTTTACAACGGCCCCGGAACCATGCGCGGCTCCAATCTTACAGGCCCTCGAGCATCGAGTCGTGCTTCTCGCGGCGTGCGTCATTGCGGATGCGCACCGGGTTCTCCAAGACGGAAGAAACAGCCGCAGTCTTCTCCGCATGAAGCGACTCGAGTGTCTCGCGGCCGTCCGCGGAGAGGTCGGCGGGGCTCACATGGTGGATAAGAGTTCACTCATGACCCTGTTGCTCGCTGTGCTCTTACTCTATTTCCACGACGGATACCTTGAGTGCGCTCAGGTATCTGCGTCCACGTCAAGTCACCATGGGGGCGTCAAGGCAATCATCGACAGTCTTGGGGGCATTCTCCCAGTTCTAGAGACGAGTCATGAATCGATCCACATGCTCCTCTCCGAGTTCGCATCAACAGATCTCACAACCATCATGCTCAAAGGAGGGAAACCCTCGTTCCCTCACGAAATATGGGATACGATTGAGAAGAGATTCGTTTGGTGGGGAAGAGACATCCTAGGGCGTTCATCTCTTGCCTCAGTTTTCAAGCAAATATCTCGGCTAACAGAGTACCGAGATGCTCTGAACAACAACACCGAACAACTCTCGATGGAGACTATCCGCAATTTCGAGACGGCTTTGTCTCCGATGTATGCCAGGATCACAGACACATCTTCAGATACTGGAGATGCGGACCCGGACTCGGAGGTAAATAACGATTTCACTCTAATTCGTGCCTTTCAGCATACGGCTCTCATCTACATGTATCGAGCCATTTGTGGTCTGCCAGTCTCCCACTCCCTTGTACAACAGCACGTTTTGCCGTGTTTGGAGTGCATCATTGATATGAAACAGCCGTCAAAGGTGCTCAATTGTGTTATTTTCCCATTGCTCGTTGCCGGTGCGCATGTTCAGTCCCCAAGACACAGAAAAGCGGTTCTGGGTATACTCCATATTATTCGCGATGAGATGCGGTTCGCCAGCTTGCACACTGTTTCTGAGGTCTTGTGTGGTGTCTGGAAGGCCGCTCGAGAGGACGTATCTTGGTCGGAAATGTACTCTGAGTTGGCGTCAGATGCCGTCGTGCTATAATTCAACGACAGAGTTGGGCTGGTAATAGATTATGTGGCTATGAACTTTCAAATTCCTATACTCAACCCGCTCAAAGCTTGTATCCCAAGTTGACGTGAACTGCCTTCGTCTGTGAGTAAGCAGCGAGGCCGGCTTCTCCCAATTCGCGCCCGATACCACTCTGCTTGACGCCACCGAATGGAACACGGATATCAGAGTCGTTTGAACTGTTGATCCAGACCATTCCAGACTCGAGACGGGCGGCTACGCGGTGGCATCGCTCAATGTCGCGTGAGAACAACGCAGCTCCGAGGCCATATGATGTGTTGTTAGCCAGCGCAACCGCCTCTTCCTCCGTCTTGAAGGGTGTGATGGCGACGAAAGGACCGAACACCTCTTCTTGGAAGATTCTCATGTCTTTCTTCACGTCGGAGAAGACTGTTGGCTCAATGAAGAATCCTTTGCCATCGCCAACGTTCTTGTGCGGAACACCGCCGGTCACAAGAGTGGCGCCTTCATTCTTGCCGGCCTGGATATAGCCGAGAATCTTCTCATACTGGACTTTCGTGATTTGAGGTCCTTGGAATGTGTCGTCATCGAATGGGTTGCCGACCTTGTTCTCAAGACATATCGCCTTGAATCGTGCAACGTAGTCCTGGTAGACATCTTCTTGAACCAGGATCCTGGAAGTAGAGGTGCAGATCTGTCCTTGGTTGCTCATGATGCCAACATGGCCCCATTTCGCTGCTTGGTCGAGATCAGCGTCGCTGAAGACCACAAGAGGTGACTTTCCGCCAGTCTCTAGTGTGATGTTCTTGAGGTTGACGCTCGCAGATTTCATAATCTGTCTCCCGGTTGCGGTGGAGCCGGTAAACGCGACTTTATCAACATCGGTATGAGAAACCATGGCGCTGCCTGCCTCCCTTCCAAGGCCGTTCACAATGTTAATGACGCCTGGAGGGAATCCAGCTTCTTTGATCAAAGTCGCAAAGTACAAGACAGAGAGGGGCGTCTGTTCAGCAGGTTTCAAAACCACTGTGTTGCCACATGCCAGCGCCGGACCGAGCTTCCTAGGAGGTGCGTTAGTTCGGCCTTACTCACTTGAGGAAGCAGATTCACTGACCATGCCGCCATCATGATTGGATAATTCCACGGGATGATTTGTCCACAAACTCCAATCGGCTGCTTCAATGTGTACGCAAACTTCTGAGGGGTTGTCGGGATGGTCTCGCCGTGGATCTTGTCGGCCCAGCCAGCGTAGTAACGTAACGTCGAAATTGTTTCCGCAACATCTTCTCCGAGGGCCACGCCATACGGCTTGCCGCCATTCCACGTCTCGAGCGTGGCAAGGGTCTCTTGATTTGCCTCGACGAGGTCGGCGAGCTTGTACATCAACCTGCCTCGGTCCGTGGCAGAGATGTCACCCCATCCCGGAGCATTAAGCGCTGCCCGTGCTGCTTTTACGGCCTTGTCGACATCCTCGGGCGATGCGGCTTCTACTGCAGCGATCTCAGATTCATCACTTTCATGTCATTAGTCTCATGAAAATAGATACCTAGACGAGTTTGAATCGTTATCCTACCTTGGGTTGATGGCTGTGATTTTCGATCCTGAGCTTGCCTTAACGAACTCATTATTGATGAAGAGCCCGGTAGGCAGGGCGATCTTCGTGCCATTCGGCGCTGTGAGGTCCAATGTAGAAGCTGACATCCTCGACTCTGAAGTGTGTGGGTAAGGGGAAAAAAATAAGACACAACGAGTTGAACAAATCAGCGCAGTGAGTCTTGCCTCAAGTCGAAGACGAGAGGTAGCCCGCCCTCTTATTCACGCAAGCTGTCAATGCATGTCGGACAGACTAGGCAATAAATGGGATCATTAAGTCTCCGCCATCAAAGTGTCCCAGACAAGTGGGGGAGCGGATCTGTGTAATTCTGCAGATCATCAGCGGATAGCTATCAGACGGAGCCACACTGACGGCTCGGAAATCCTGAAGCAGACAAAAGATGGACAAGATCCCGTCTCATGGCCCTATGAGCCCACCGAGGTTACGGATACTTCTCCCCACCTACTCCAAGTTGTGCAGCGTCAATTTCGGCCGTCCCAACGCCGTTGAGAGGGGTGCGGGGTTTCCCGCAGTAGCTGTCCGAATTAGGCAACTTTTTTGACCATTGACGCGGGGTTGTTGAGGTGTAGCTTACAGGGTGGTCGGATAGCTTGAATTAGATGCCCGGGAAAGTGGAAGCTCAACTCTTTGATTGCTTGAGGTGATTCCAGATTACGGATACGAAGCATGAGACATGTTGCCCAGTCCCAAGTCGGAACTGGATATCCAAGACAGGCAACCCACCACTACACCTCAACTTACTTCTAGCTTGGTTGCGACGTTGCGTAGGCCTCAACTTTGGTCCATGCACGACTACCATAGGAAGGCTTCTCAACCGCCCTGGACGGGGAGCAAGCAAACTAAACTTACTTCAGTGCTGCCAATCAAAGTTCCGCCAGCAGTGAGCTTAGCTGCGGGTTGCATCACTACTGCATGCGCAGCCGAGTTTGTGTCAGGATGAACTTGCGTCTTGGCTTGGACCTTCTGCCAGAGTTGTGGAAACTATAAACACCAGGTATCAATGTAAATTCTCAATCACGAGTCGGAGATTTATCAGTAGCTTACGAATACTGAAGTGTTGAACTTTATTTGAGACTGCCAGTATTCTACGGTCTGGCAATGGTCCCTTGAAGCTGGTAACATAAACTTTGGGCTGGCTGCTGCCAAATAACGATTTGTAATAAAGTTGAGTGATATTACACAATCACATCGGTTTCTTCATAGTCAGAGGCCGTTGAAAGTTATACAATGCTGCTCTCGGTGATTGATGATGATGCAAATACCGGTATCCACAACATGGAGTACTAGAAGAAAAAAAGAGAAAACCGCGCCAGTATGGATCGTGCCTAGGCCACAAGATTGTGAAAGTTTCCTACGCATCCCGTATCCATGTCTCTTAGACAGGAATCAACGCCTCGACCTCGATCTCAACATGCATTCCTTCTAGTCCAAGCTTGCCAATCTGCGTACATGTCCAGATAGGTCGATGATTCGGGAACAGTTTCTTGAAAGTCGCCGTCATGACGTCGAAACTCGAGTCCATGTCAAGATGATAGGAACGAATCGCGTAGATTTCTTTGAAGCCGAGACGGGGATGAACAGCTTGGAGAGCTTTAAGCGCATTCTCGAAAGCCATGGTGATCTGCTTCTCGAGGTCGGTTGTGATGTTGCCATTCTCGTCCCAGCCGCCCTGGCCGGATGTGCGAACGATATTCCCGATCTTTACGGCTTGGGAGTAGTGATATTGCTCCGCATTAGACTCGGTGCCTGGATAATTGAAGAATTGGGCGGAAGCCATGGTGAAGCCTGCGGTGAACTGTTATGAGCTCAACTGATTATGTTTAGAAGAATTTATCAGCAGGCTTGGTAGGAAGACATCCCTGGGGGCGCACCAGTACCATTTCTGAGCTACTTATCTACTTGGAGGGCAACCAAGAAACGTAGCCAAGAGGCTCAAGTAGCCTGCATGCAGTCAGCGCGGGGGTTCAAGCTCGGAGCGGGGGGTCTTTATGTTGAAATAATGCCAAGCTCGTACTGCTCTAGTCTTGCATGATATGCCTTCGGGTTGCCGCTTTCAGTTCATCTGTCTTACCCATTGATAGAGGGGCCAAGTGAATCAACATTGAGGGCTAGCTCGAAAGGTGTTACACAACGTAAGCCTCAAGATGGTCCATCTTGCTACTACATTCGGAAAGATGTTTCTCGTGGAATGGAGGGCACGGCTAGACTTTCCAGTCTAACATCATAATGACTCCTTTCCTGTCCAGAAATACTCACACAAGTCGGCTGAATCATCACCAGAATTACCTGGGCTTGTAGTCGTATGTATGTTCTGCTAAAGTAGAATCCCCGAGACGATGCGATTGGTCCACCTCACAAGCACGATATCCTATGCCAGAAAAGAAGATCACTTTTCAAACTTTGTCGCCATCGTTGTGAAAATACTTTGATGTACTAAAGGTAGAACTGAGATACACAGCAACATATGCGGGCAATTCCTAGGTGTACTCCGAGACCTACCAGAATTCAACTGCGTTGTATTTGACGCTGGCAAGTATCTGCAAGGAACCAAGTCAAGTTTGGATGTAACTGCAAGGAGCTTCATCACCCAAACGCAGCAATTGTGGTTGAACTTTGTTTGTTCATGTTACATGTGTAGAGAGCGCGAGAACTATTGCATAAAACTCTCCACGCATAAGACGTGGCTAATTTTCTGTAGAGACTCAGTGTCCTGATAGGCTATGCTTTTCTACCATGTCCCAGTAATGAGGTGCTGCCATACGTCGTAAGGGCTTTCCTATGTACATCATGACCAAACACAGTGCCCAAAACGTTACTCCAAGAACAGCGGTCACTATGAAGGCATCTCGAAGGCCAATGCTATTGATCATGGGTACTACAGCGTAGCTGAAAGCGAAGCCTAGGCATGGTTAGTTAAAATGCTGAGAGGAAAGACGACGTCAACTTACCCATGGTGTTGCGAATGAGAATAGCCGACACGAAGCCCTCACCAGCCAGGTCCTTGAAGCTGTCAAGGATATATGTGAACGCCATGCTTGTTCCCAGTGGAAGAGTAACAGATATCAAGGCCAACCCAAAAGCAATACCGACCCAGTGGATCTGGTATGAAGCCCCTACGCCGTATAAGATGCAACCGACCGGATGGGCTATGATAGCCAGGAAGCACACCCAAAGACGATGCTCTGGTTCCATAACACCTCCATGTCGGCGAGCCATCCATACTGACAAGGCATCGCTGGCCCAGCTTGATATCAAGCATCCTATCGAGACCCCAATCACCGAAGCAAGGTAAAAGAGACCGATGACGTTTGAACCAAAGTTGTAAGGTGGGTTGCCAAGGATGAGGGCCAAGGAGCCGCCGACCACGTTGTACCACGAGAGAATTCCCCCAACCAGAATACCCGCGAAGATGACGGAAGGAAATCGAAGGAGGTAAAATGGTAGAAGAGACTGCTTCAGCTGTTTCGGTTTCCGGTCGTCTTGATAGCCCCATAGCTTGAACCTGGACCAAAAAAGCTTCTCGGGTGCTGCCTCGACGCGGGTCGGCAAAGTGCGTGTCTCGTTGTCAGAGTTGACTGTGGTCAAATCATTCGCAACTTGAGGTTTTCTGTCATCGGACGGCTCGGTGTCGACCGCGCTCTTATCGCTATCAAAAACACCTCGTTGCTGATTGGGGATGCCACGGATATCGGTTTGTAGACTGGGCCTGTAGAACATGGTTTCTTCGAAGAAAAGAAAGGTCAAGATGGTGACTACGACTCCTATGATGGACAGAATGTACTGGATCCAACGCCAACCCAGGTCTTCGGCGATGAAGCCAGTGGCGACTGGGCAGAGGAAGGCACCGCACCACAGCGTCCAACTGTAGATTCCCATGTAAAAGCCTCGTTGGTGGACGAAATAGAGGTCGTCGATTATAACTTCGATGAGAGTCTCCATTGGCGAAGAGATGATGCCGATAATGATGCGGTTCACAAAGAATTCGGCTCGGGACTTGACGTAGGCAGTCCATAGACTGATGAAGGTCATCGCGACCATAGAATAAACAAGAGTCGGGCGTCGGCCGTAATTGAGCGCGAAGTTTTGGGTGAGCAGAGTGCCCCAGCCGAGAAAGAGGTACATGAGGCCATTGCCGGTGCTAAGGTCCGCGACGGAGATGCCGGTGTCTGCTTGGATCTGGAGGTAGGCGGGAGACAGGCCGGATACGATGGCAGCACCGAAGAAGCACCATGTCATGACCCAAGAGATGTTGAAGGTCTTGCGCTTTCGCGTCCATGATAGCGGATCATTCGGATCGCTGCTCGGTTGCGGAACAAGAACGATGTTAGTGTGCTCCGAGCCATGCTTCACGTCGAGAACGCCTTGGGTGTCGACAAGCTGCACCGTGCCCGGAATATCGAACGTGATGGTCGTGTTTGTCATGATGGTTGCTGGCACGGCCCATACAGGAGACCATCAGGAGCACCAGCGGCTCGACAATGATATACAATCCGGCCAAAGTTCTGCTCTTCCCCTAACTACTGAAAACTCTACACTGCTACCTCATTTCCAGCCGGTTACTGGTAGACCATCAAACTGATGCATGGACCATCCGGCCCTTTTCCAAAATCTGAGGCCTCATCCATGCCGGCGCTAAACCGTACGAGGGTAAGAGATGGTCAAGGACTGCTAAGCCAACCCTCGAAGCATGTGTTAGGCGCCGGTTAGTAGGCTCGGAACGCCACCTTTCCAAGCAGTCTTATCAATGCGGTATCTAAGTTCTGGAGATTTACTGCCCAAGAAGGCCGTGCACGCGCGAGGATTACTGCGCCCGTTGCGACGTGAAGACAGAAGCCGGCCCCGCGGTGATTCTCTCCCGGGCGTTGAACGTGGGGGGAATGCCTCCACCGGAACCCGGAGACGCGGTAAGACGCGTGCAGCTTCTTTGGGAATCTGCGTAGTTATGTCGATAGGAGTGATTCTTTTGTGCACTCGATGTGCCTTGGAATAGGTCATAAATGTGGATGTCAATGGAACTGGTCCAACATGTTTCCGAATTTGGGTGTGCCTATCTAGCCCCGGCTCCCACTCGTAGTGCTTTCTACGCGGGGTTGATAAGGCAAGATGACCCCATGAAAAGGAAGCGAACGTCTGCACTCCGTGCTCCGTCTACCATGCTGTGGTAGGATGGAAAGATGTATATCACCCGATTGTTGATATGTGTGCATACATTATTTCCCTTTTTTATTGGCGTGACAATATACGTGGCAGAAGTACGAAGCGATTGGTGCAAGATAATAAACCAAACCTCCATGCCAGTGATATGGTAAAGCATCCGCAGAATTGTGGCATGTGTGTGTGTGTTATATTTAACGCCGTGGCGGCAAGGGCGCAGCCGCCCTTGCGGCCGACCTCCCGAAGGGTATATGGCGTGGAGAGCCGTCGCCCTATAACTATTGCTAGATACAGTTCAAATCGTCCTCCAAATCGTGCCTTATGGCTACTATGCGTTCTATCTGTCCCTGGTTCCCGCTGGTGCCCCAGTTCCATTCTTGAATTTTGCGGCTTAAGGCCGGATATGTCTGGAGAGGGCGGCCTGCCGAAACAGGCCCCTCGTACATGTTCTGATTTGTACAAGACCATTCCTGCCCCAGTACTAGGTTAACGACGTGTACTCGCCGCATATCCACTTTTTCTTGGTCGGAGGGTGTGGATATGAGAAAACCCGGCGAGGGCCCGGAAAGGGTCCTAGGCCCCGCATTGGGCTCTGCCCTACCCTTCCACAGGTAGTTAAAGCAGTTCGAACCAGCGACCTCTGGGCTCCAGAGGCCTTGCCAGGTGTATGCCACTACACCACGCCGGCCAGAATTGTGGCAGTCGATAGAACCATCACCAATGGTTGACCTCAGTAGAGTGATTACAACCCGGATCTGAGTCTCTGCACGACTTACATCACACTGATAAAGGCATAGGTACATTTGGTATAGTTGATTTTTGACAGCCTTGGCTTTGGTGATTAGAGTACATCGCCGGCACCCCTCCATGTATGTGAGTTACGAGACCTTGCTTCTCCATATTCCACACAAATACTTTATACACAAGAGCTCTACTATCATCAAGCACTCGGTACTAACATTCGGACTTCCAAAATTCTTCCCAAGATTTGGACTATTCCATGCGATCAAAGCAGGATGTTTGGTTTCCAGAGTTTCAATCCACATCCATCACAACCTTCAAAGCACCATGTTTAGACGCTTCTCCGAAGGTATCATATGCCTTCTCCATGTCACCAAGCTTGAAGTCTGGAGCTCTTGTCAGTCACGTTCTCATACTTTAGCAAGTTACACAGTAGTAGAGATCTTTACGGTGCGTAACAAGTTGCGAGGGTTGCAACTTGCCCGATTGTACAAGTTTCAATAGCATCGGTGTCGTTGTTGTATCCACAAGTCTAGTCGTAATCGCTGCATGTTTGAGTTAGAATAGACGTTAAGGTTTTTGATCGTCTCAATAGACTGATGGTTTGAACTCACAAATATTCTTGTCCCATAAATTTTGAAGATGGAGATCAACCTTGGTTCCATGGACTCCCACGTTGGCCAGGACACCTCCAGGTGCGAGCAGGCTCTGGCAGAGATCAAAGGTTGCGGGGATTCCAACCGCTTCAATGACCGAGTCAGCGCCCTTACCCTCAGTCAACTCTTTAACCTTGGTTACAGCATCGGTCTTGGAGCTGTCAATGGTTTCGGTTGCGCCAAATTGCCTTGCAACGTCAAGTCTCTTCGGATCCATGTCGATGGCAATGATTTGAGACGGAGAGTACATCTGAGCCGTGATGATAGCCGCCAGACCGATCGGACCCGAACCCACAATAGCGACAGTGCCGCCTGGCTGGACTTTGCCGTTAAGCACACCGCATTCAAGTCCTGTCGGGAAGATGTCACTCAACATCACTAGCGAGGAGTCGTCGGCGCCATCCGGAATCGGGTGGAGACTGGATTCGGCGTGGGGAATACGGACGTATTCGGCTTGGGTACCGTCAATAGTGTTTCCGAGGATCCACCCGCCGGACGTGCAGTGGCTGTACATGCCCCGGCGGCAGTACTCGCATGTCGCACAGCTGGAAATGCATGAGATGAGAACCCGATCTCCCTCTTTAAATCGTGAAACTGAGGCTCCCGTTGAGTGGATGATGCCCACTCCCTCGTGGCCCAATGTCGTGCCTGGTTGGCATGTCGCTACGTCGCCCTTGCGAATGTGGAGATCTGTTCCGCAGATAGTTGTCTTGGTGACTTTGACGATGACATCGGTTGGTTTTGATATGGTAGGGAGAGGTTTATCCTTCAATGATACTGAGTTGGAGCCGTCGTAGACAAGAGCCTTCATCGTTGAGAGATGTCGCATCAACAATGAGCCGGCAGGGCTCAAATTTGTACGAGTCAAGGCTGGGGAAAAGCAGGTCGCTCGACTTGAGGCCGCTAGTGCAGGTAACACTGAACTTGAAGCTCGAAGCATAAAAGATTTGGCCACTCGTGATGAAGCCGCCATGATGGACGATATTTCGTGACTATTGGCGATGTTAAATGATCAAATCAAAGTGAGTCAAATGGCATCTGAAGTCAAACAGGTTGTAAGTCCTTCACACGCAATGACGGAATTGGATGGTTGCTTGGTAAATATCGAAACCAACAATCCCGAGGCTCTGGCCTGGGAATTGTCAGATCATATGAGTGACGAGCAGGCTGTGAGCTAATGGGCTGACGTTCCGTGACGTCTGGGGTTGATGTGGGGATATTGCCTGCAGATGAGAGGAAGCACCTGATTCTGAGTCCGTGGTTCGTCTCGGCATGCACGGAAACCAGGACCAACTTCACAGAAAGCCTGTCGGATGCTAGAGTCTTCCCCCGCAATCGGCTAACTGAACACCTTCGTTGATCATGGGGGACGATGTCCCCTTGTTGTCGCGTCGGTAACATGGTACAATATCAGGAGTTGCGGTTCCGCAAAGTCCATGCGGTTCCGCTCTCAGCGAGTCGTATCCCTGTTTTCCCCAAAAGAGACAGCTTTCATATATTGTAACATGATCAGCGCACCACAGCCTTGGATTTCTGATAGAGTGGTCTGAATTTTAGGCTTCTTACATGTCGACTCCCAAAGCCGAACCGAAGAGAGGCATCTTAGCTTCGCGAGCTGACTACCTGCTTCGTTGTTTCGACCCCGAGATTCCGGCAGGTTCTCCAGCGTCAAGCAAGGAGGAGGCGAAATATGACCGTTTACCGTAGTGGTCAGTTGTAAATTGGGCTAATACTGCTGGATCACAAAATCTCACTCGTGAATACCGAAGAGAGGCTGTAGCACCCTTATAGCTAGTGTGAATGTCCGCTCAGCATGAGCCAGAGGATTTGGTCTGATACGGCCGTTCATCTGGGGAGGTCTATAGGCAATGCAGGTAGATCGATATTTCTGCTATTCTCGTCCATAACGAGGCCGAAAAGTCTATCCAACATTGCAGAATTCTACGCCTTCATGCTCACAGCTCACTTGCGAGGAGCTGCCTTTGTGAGCCATTCCCGGACTTTCTCTGACGCAAGACGAGGAACGCCCTCGTACTTCTTATCTTCGTATGTCGCGTCGATTTCTTTAGCCAGGCGCTGAGCCTTGGCAATGGTGATTCTCTTCGCGTTAGTCCAGTGTGTTGTCGAAACGAAGTCATCCGCGTCGTTGAGTAGCATTTGCCGCTTCTGGCGCAACTTAGCGTCGTCGGTCTTCTCACCAGCGCAGAGTGCGCAGCTACACTCAAAGCCCCACGTCGTCATAAGAGCCTTCTGTCTCGCCTCGTAGTTGCTCGACTCGTCGTAGCTGTGCAAGATTTCCTCGCCCTTGGCGATAGGTCGAAGCGCGCGAAGGACCATCAGGTCGCCGACATAGTCCTTCTTGGCGTTGGCGATGCAGGAGTGGTTGATGTACGCTGCCCAGACCCAGAGACCGGTGCTTGCATTCCTGGCGCCTTCTTCTCCGTACTGGCCACCGGGTCCAAAGGCGTTGCGACAGACGATGTCGTGGATCCGGAAAACGTCGACTACTGGGCCTTCTGGCGTCTCGGACGCAGCCTTGCCCTCGCCCTGATAATCCCCGTAGAGATCCAGCACCTTTGCGATCTGGGAAGGATTCCTTAGAAGCTTCTGCGAGATGGCCTTAGTCAAGCCGACGGGTGCCACTCTGATCTTGTCGTCGCGGACATCGTAAGTCATCGCGGTCAAAACCTCGCTCTCATGGCCCCAGACAACGCAGAAAGCCTTCTCGACCATAACGATCTCCCCAGCAGCAATATCGCAGGTCGCAAACAAGCCACGTCCTCTTCCCTTACTGTCCTTGACCTCAGTCTTGGCTGTGAAGGTTGCCGCATCGGCCCGTGGTGAGACTCTAGTCAGGTTGGCCCTAATCTTTTGCAGGTCATACGACCCCTTTTCCTGCTCGCGAAGTCGCATCTCCACCTTGCGCAGATAGACGGCAGCGCCTCTCTCCGCGGGCGCGAGTTCGTGGGCTTTCTCAAAGTACTTCTTGGCCCCTTCGAACTGGCCCAGGTTGTAAGCACCGCTACCGGCGCGGAAGTAGGCTTTGCTGTCGAGTTCCTTGGATTTCTGGTCGTCGGCCCCGATGAGAGAGGCTTTAGCGTCGGCGATGGCTTCGTCTTGTCGGTCCATAAGGAGATGTGAATGAGCTCGGTTCCGCGCAATGTCTCGTACGATATCAGGGTTCGTTTTCTGAACAGGCCCTTGCCTGGCAACCTTGATTCCTTGAGTGTAACTTGTTCGAGTGAGAGGGAGGTCCTTCTTCTGTAGTGCCGCGTTTCCCTTATCCTTACACTTCCTCGCGATCTCATCCCCTTTAGTTCCATCTTCGATCTCGGTCAAGCTGCCTTTCACGATCTCCTCATTGATAATGACGAGGTCTGAGGGGTGATCGATCCGAAGTGTAGCCTCGCCCTCTTCCGTCAGGGTAAAATAGGGCTCCTTGATGATGAAACGCCGTGCCGACTCAAGGGTATCTTCGCCGTCTGTTGTCTTATGCAACACAATCTCCAAGCGCTCGGTCTCCTTCTCCTTCTCGTCTTGAACGACAGTCCATGAGCGAACAGCAAGCGCCACCACCGGACAGCGCCTCGCACGCTGTACTGTCAAAGAACGACCACGGTGATGTGTCTCTAATGTGAGTTCCGAAAACGACATAGGCTTTAGCTCTTCCAAAGAGGCGATGCTTGGTGGGTATGCCTGTCCAACACCAAGTGCTGGGATTGTGTCCTCTTGACCCTGGCCACTCATTTGACCCATGTCCATCATGAGAGAGGTTCCCGTCGCCTGGCTAACGGTAGCGTGAGCATCCCGAAACTCTCTGGTGTTGCCCTTTTGCGTTGAGCATTTCTTTTGTGTTTCTTGCACAGTGGTCCGAATGCGCTGGGCCTCTTCCTCGGTCAGCAAGACCGTGTTTCCACCGTTTTGGTGCGCCATTTCGGAGTAGTGCTGGCGTCACGAAATTCTGCTGTTGCTGCTACTGTAACTTGTAGCGGATCAGATAGTTCGGGATAGCTGCAAAGATTGCGTTATGTTCTTTATTGTAAGGGACGGAACAACTAGACTTGCCGAGGCCAAGGAGGTCGCGAAGTAAGATCAAGTTCTGTGTGCAGTTGTTCCGAGCAAGCTTTAGGGTTCGATCTGCGTGACAAAATTTACGCATGGCGCCTCCGCGGTTGTTCCCACCGAAAAACTCAGAAACTAGTCCGTTCGCCCAATGGTTTGGTATTTCCACAGACTTCTCCCGCGTCATACTGCCCACCCACACCCCACCATCCATAATACCATGAACTGGGATGTCCTAAATTGAGTTGGAGCAGTAACACGATGGCCGCAACAGAGAGGGTATGCGATTGATTGATTACATCTTCTTGGTAAAGTGATCTTTTCTACAACACTCAACTTCGCTGAGGAAGATGATTTCGAGACTTAAAGTTCCCCTTGAGAAAGATTTCTACTTGGGTATTAATTCTTAGTCCTTGGCAACATGCACTGACTGCTGTGAGCGCTCTTCAAGACGTTCCCACGGGAGCTCATACCCTTCTTCAGATCCACAACTTCATGCACCAATGCGCCTAGCATCAGGGTTGAATCTTTCCGCGATGCGAGTATGTAACTCGCAAGTTGGAAGAATTGGATCGCAACAGAACATATGTTCAATTCTCCCATAATTCAAATGCCTGACAGGTAAATGCGCTCGTCAGCTCACGTTGTGGCGATTCAGCGCGGTTGGCATAGTCCCTGTGATCTACGCCTGTTCCTCCTCATCAGAGGGCTTCTGCCCGTAAACTACATGACTACCAACCCAGAACAGTCAGTCAAGAGACATGTCAGAGAAAGTTTTCAGCTCGGTGTAACTCACAGGTCAAACAAGGCGTGGAAAACACCCGATTTCAACTCTTTCCTAACCTCTTGAATTTGCGCCAAAGCTTGCTCTCTAGTCCGCCCGAGAACACCACACATCAGCCTCATTGAGAAGGCCTCTAGACCCTCAAGATTTTGCGCCAAGTTGAGCAGACCAACTTCCTTGTAGTGAGGGTCCTTGGGCCAAGGGCCGATGGGGGTCTTGAACCTTTGGTGGAAGATGCTTCGAAAGCCAGCATCTACCACCCAGCCCTCCACCTTTGGGACGGGGTTAGGATCGCGGTCGATGCTCTCCAGAGTCCTCACCAAGGTCTTGTTCCAGCCCCAAGTAGCGTGCTTCACGGTGTAACTACCGTCGTCAGAATAGTACTCGCAGATCATCTCCTGAAACTCGGCCCATCCTCCTGGGTTGAGATGGCTAATCTCATCCAAACGTCAGCGACTTGAAATTTCCTGGGAGTTGCAAGGTTGTAAGCAAGAGCCGGATATTTGTACTGACCCATAGATGTTCTTCACCAGCTTTGGCCAGTCGAGGATCGAGCCGGCCATGTATCGGCACATGATGTAGTCGTACTTCTGCTCAACCCAAGGACTTTCAACATCGTCAACTTCAAATCGGACATTGGGAGGGGCCCTAAAGTTGCGTCATTAGAACGCCATCCCGAATCCGAGATTAAGGCTGCAGAGAAACTGGGCCAGAGAGACCTACCAACTTGGCTGTATAGCACTTAGGTCGTTGCCGACGACCTCCGCGTCAGTGAAAATATCACCAATCTCGACAGCCCCTGTAAGTCATTTGCTCAGCCACTTAGTACGCCCTGAGATTTGATCCCATCTCACATAAGCCAGTCCCAGTCCCGATATCGAGAATTATGCGCATTTTGGACTTGTCGCGAGGCGCTAGATAAAGCTTCGATCCGATTGCCTTTACCATCAACGCGTGACACATGTCAAGGCGTTCCGTCCCAGCCTAAGGTTTGATCAAAAAGCGTCAGCGGTCGATGAACCATATCGCAATAGAGTTGAGTTATTACATACATCATCATTCGGTGCAAAGTACGCTGGTAGCTGGCGTGAGATCTATCTCAAACAGTCTGGTGCTGCCGGGGGCTGCTAATCTCACCTTCAGGACGGAAGGCATGGTACCGACGGCCGTATTCCATAGGATAATCGACGACGCTCGAGGACAGTGAAACAGTATAGTTCGAGCTGTTGATCAGCAAGGCATCAAAACGCCTTCAGATAACCAAGTACATACATGCGTTCGTCGATTGCGGAGGCGTCTCCCGCCTATATAATTACTGTACTTAGCAATGGCCCCTCCTAGATTAGAAAAACAGAACAATAGCTATGACGAACAGCATCAGCATCGTCCGGCTCGAGAGTAACAATCTCGTCGTGAAAGTTCCGGGTACTGCCACCGGGAATAGTGTTTCCACTGGCTCGCTTTGGCAAAGACGAGTCAACCAGCTGGGCGTGAGACAGTAGCTCGGTCTGTCTGGTCGTTGACTCCGTCATCTTGAGAATGATAAGATGTTTCTTCAACACGGTTGTAAAGTAACAGCGCCTTCGGGACTGCCAAATGATTGCAAAAGGAATGAGATTGTTCAGACAGGAGAGAAGAGGGGTTGGAGGAGAACGAACATCGTCCTTGCTCAACCAACAAACAAACAACATCGGTCCACCGTTGGTGCCGGCCTGCTCTTCGGACTGCGGAACCTTGCGATTCTGATCCTTCTGATTCGCTCATTCATCAATCGCTTTTTAGAAATGGGTTGTTAGGTAAATCCGATCCAATTACGTTGTTAGGCTGTCCTCCGAGAGTTGTCGTTGGATGTGAGTACTGACCATGCCGCATCCCGCCTCTCTACGTCTTGGCATGCTTTATCGTTTTCCTTTGGACGAATCTTTCAGCTTCGGTCGAAACTTTTGCTCCAGTATTGATGCAGTTGTTTAGGTGCTCGATCAAGGGGCCGAGCTAATCCAATTGAACAGGAGGCATAGTAGGTCTCATGGTTTCAATTGCTCAGCTGCTTACGGTTGAATTTCATTCATGTCATGATGATCAAAATGCATGTACCATATCGTTATGCACTGCATTGATAATCTTATAGTTCCAGGGCGAACTTCAGTGTCAACTCAAATTCACTCGTCACTCGTCGTTCCAGTCTCTACCTCAGAGAAACGTAACCATAAGTAACAACCTAAACATATTTAACTTCAACTACGACCTTCTTTCTGTCATCAATAACCCAAATATACAGGTCTCGATTAAAATCGTCATTCCCTTTGATTGCATTATTAACTTCAAACTTCATCACTTGCGGGGCTTTTAGGCCGATGGCATGTGACACCGTAGTTGAATTTGACCCATGCTGCATTATTGCTGACCACCATAGGTCTTCGGCGACATACCATATCGTAGTCAGAGTCAGCGCTTGCCATGTCGCTGATTATTCTGTTAGGCCTGGTCTCTTTACGATTATGACGAGCATAAGCTGTGACTGGTTCCAACTCAAAGTCGACTTTTCTCCAAGATTGGGACTTTGGTAACCCATGTCAGCAAACGGCGGAATTGGCTCGAAGGTCTCGGTACCGTAGCTTATGCAGGTACGGGCACAGCTCCGCTTAAATTTGAATCCCTGACATGAAAGAATTGAGGCCAGGCCTCACAGTCTAAGCCAAAATTAGCTGCCAATCCAATTCCTGCCTTTTCTTTCTCTGTGTGACTGTCAGAGCCCTCCCGGATAGGGGCTAGTTAGAGGTAGTAAGGAGTCCAAGCAACAAAGGAGCAGCTCAGATATATATACAGCGCAGGGAGTACACGTCGAGGGAGGAGCAGATTTCAGTAATGCATCATTCTACCCCTAACTGTAGTTGGCCTCTGAGAGCTTCCACCCTGCGTCAACACTCCAACTTGACAGTCTGAAATCTCTACCCACGAAGGGGACCAGGCCGGAAGCTCGAAATGCCAGCCCAGACGAGACGCAGCGAGAGAGCGCAGTCAGCGCAACGACAACGTGGAGAAGAGACACCATTTTCCGACCTCCCAGAACCCCCTCAAGTTCAGCCAGCAGGACTAGGTCGCGGCTCTATAGGCCGCGAGATGCAACAAAACAAGAGGAGCACCGCTCAGATAGAGGACGACGAATACAACGAGTACGACGAAGATACTAACCCCTCCTCTCCCTCTCCCTTGGGCCGTAACCGCACCAACAGCGACCGACTCTCGCAACTACGAGAGGAGAACGACTCCTAGAGGAAGAAATCCTTATCGCTACGCACGAGGAACGCCTACGCAAGAGGCGCGCCGATCTAGAACGCCTCCGAAGCGCTTCAGCCGCGCCCGCTCCCGGAGTTGTATTGAGCTCAGCTGAGGCCGTAGACCTCCGCAACAGGGTTAGCCCCCTTACCCAGGCTGTATCAGGAGCGCTGTCAGAGCAACAACAGAGCGACGAGTTCATCGCCCCCAAGCCACCTTCCACAAGCTCCCTACCAACAGAAGCGGCGGTCACAGGAGGCTCTTCGGTGTTCAGGCCTCTGTCCCTCCCCAGCCTGTCGTACACGGGCAAGTCGGCAAGGGACTTGCAGAGCTTTCTGTTCGACTGTTACTACCGCTTCGACTTATGGGCGCAACAGATGAAAAGCGACCGCGACAGAGTAGCTTACGCAGTGAGCTGCCTACAGGGAAACGTCAAGACGTCATGGATGCATTACATCTTCGACCGGAGACGCGACGTCGGGTTCACCATGGACCAGATTACCTGGGCCGAGTTAGAGACCTTCCTCCAAGACAACTTATCGGACCCTGCAAGCCGCGGAGTAGCGGCGAGTATACGTCTCGACAGCGCCTCCCAGGGCGCAAAGGAGAAGGTGGACGAGTTCGTCAGCCGCATCGACGGGCTAGAGATGGAGCTTGACTACGTACCCACAGAGAAGCAACGGACTTCTACCCTGCTAAGCAAGTTACGTCCTCAACTCCGTCACACCATCACGTCGCAGATAGTACTCCCTCGCACAAGGACGGAGCTAGTATCGCTGGCAAGACGGATCGAACAATCGGCTTTATCGATGGGTGACAGGCAGACCTCACCTCCCATACATACGGACCAGACGATGGCAGGTACATCGACGCGCCGCCGCAGCAACGAGCAAGCGACTTCGGGCAGGGTACGCCGCACATCTCCAGGCAAAGATATCACTTGTTATAACTGCAGGGAGACGGGACATATCGCCAGAGACTGCCCTAGGCCGAGGGAGCAGCATCAGCAGTGCTACAACTGCGGAGAGACGGGGCACCTTGCCAACGCGTGTCCTAACATGGTGTGCCGGAAGTGCAACAAGAAGGGACACAAGGCGGCTAGCTGTCGCAGTGACACAGCTTGTGACACTCACTCAGGCTTTACCTCTAAGGGAAGGGGGGAAAACACGAGCGGCACAGTATTCTAGACATTGGCTGTCTGACAATTCACTTTACCATCGCCCGAGATGAGAGTACAATGCCACTTGTGTGTTCAGCCCCCGAAACTCCTCGTGATCCTTCTCAACGCCCGAATGCCGAGTAAACGCTGCTTTGTTGGCTGGTAGCCTAGGCTGACAGGACCAGGGTTCGGCTGAGAGCGGAAATTCATTACGGGGTCAGACAGCAACCAACCGCCCTCTTCGACCCTATCAACCGGCTTAGATATCAAACCCATTCAGCGCCAAGATGCGCTTCGTAGGCAGCCGGGCGGCACAGTCAGAAGCTTGTCCTAAACAATGTCGTTGGGTGCCATTGAGTTAACCTGGAAGGGAAACTGGTCGACTTTGTTTTCAGTTCGCCCTAGGAAATTCATTTCTTCGCTGGAGTCATATGGCAAGGGTACCTCTGGTTGCTCGTAGGCATCAGCCCACGATAGATCTAATATGATGTTTGTTCCCCGAGGACAAAAAGTCGCCCGTCCCAGTTACAAATAAGGGCCTTATGTCGCAGCGCCACACGTGGCGCTGCCGGTTACTGCCGTACGATACCGCTTTCCACAAGCCCATTACCCGTCTTGTACGGTATATAGATAGGACCCTCATACGGGTCTTCCACTTAGAGGAATCAAGCCACTTTCTACCATACAAGTCTTCCACTTGCTACCTCGCTTTGTGATAGTTATGAGCCCAGCTCTGACTTGACCACAAGCAACAGAAACCCCTACTATTGTGAAGCAGGCTGCAAGTGCCTACTCTCTCTCTCACATACCCCTTCTCGTACAAAACGAAACCATCGTACACGCAACAATGACTACAGTCTCGCTCCCTACCACCAGGAAGCTCAACAGTCCTATGACTATCAATGAGGACTGGCTTCCGTGGTGGAATTCCCTTCGCATTTCGGCTCGCGAACGAGCCGTCTGGAAATATATCGACCCCGACGGCACCGACAGCATCAATTTAGTACGATTACTTCCGTCAATCGACCGCTATGTCCAGGAACGCAACGTACTAGCCGAAGCCGAATTCCTTAAGGCGAAAGCAGACTACGATCAACTCGCAGACAAGACAGGCCATACAGAACCTGCTAGATCACCTCCACACCAGACGAGTCATATCAACATCGTGAACGAATACGTCCTCCTCATTCAGAGCCAAGCGATCGAAAACGGAGATCTCAAGCAGCAAAAGAACGATCTGAACCTACTGTCAGCATGGGTTGAGGCTACCGTCGCGTCGGATATCCTCCAGCCCATCCGAGCTGAGCTCGCCGACAGGAATGGAGACAAGAAACTTGAGCTACGCCAGACGATACAGGCCCTCAAGGACAGGTTCGCTCCGTCGAAAGACGTATCCATGGATCTCGCTCGCGAACGATACCTCAAGGCGATGGATCTCGCAGCGTCGACCGTGGACCCAATGACCTGGCTAAACGAGTGGTACGGCGCCTTCCTGAACGGACAGGCCTATTCCATACCAGAGGTTGAGGGATCTCTCGCGGTCAAGACGTTCTTGCGAGCCGTCCAGCAGCGAATCGCCACATCCTGGGCAACCAGCGAGCTCAACGACATCCACAAACAGGAGCGCCTTCAGACGGGAGTCCGTTTGACCTTGAAGCAGTACGCGGACCTTCTCGGAGACCTCCTACGGACAGACCCGCCGAAGCTCCGTAAAGCGACAGGGGCATACGCAACGCTTGGCAATCAGACAGAGCGATCAAACAAGAGACCCAACCAGAAGTGCCCCTGCGAGCGTAATGTACACCCATGGACCCCGGCCGAGTGCGGATTCGTCGAGTACGCCTACCGCGGCAAGTCAGCGGCATTCCGAGGAACTCTGAGCGACGAAACTCGAGCGGCTATCAGAAAGCGGGTCGAAAAGGGGCATTGGGCCGATCTTCGCAAGACAATCAAAGCAAAGGGGTGGACCAAGGGACAGGGGAGCGAGTCATCTACCACCGAAAGCATGCCAACAAAGTTTGTTGCAGTTACGATCTTACGGAACGACTTTTCCTCATCCCTAGTAGCCTCAACCCCATTCGTGCGAGGTTCGTCTCTTGGCGTATTCTCGACTCCGATTCAACCCGCTCACCCACTGCGCGAATCTACTGTACTGGATAATTGCGGAGGAACCCATCTTGTGAACGACAAATCCCTGCTCGAACCAGGCTCTCTCAAGCCTCCAGGAGACACGCACTTTGTTGAGTCCGGAACGACGGCGTACCCCATCGAGGGATACGGCACGCGCGTGATGAAAGGCGTACTGAACGGCATCGACCTCGTGCTTGAGGACGTCGCGTATGTGCCTGGATTCCACGTCAACATCGCGTCGGAAGGGCTGATTAGACAAAAGAGCGGTCTCTGGTATACGGGATTCGACTGCTCGCTGCGCTGGGGACCGATGGAGAAGCAGAACAACACGATTCTCAAACTCCAGCGTGAAGGAAACCTAGTCTTCTTGCAATACAAGCCGATCTCCCCCTGTCCACAGTCCCCTACGATACGTGACAGACCACCAGTCAGCCTCGCGGGAATAACGCGAATCGACGTGTTCTCAACCTCGTTCCGTACCTCCCGTCAGCCTCCACCGGACCGCGTAGATGACGGTTGGCTTTGGCACCTTCGTACCGGACATTTAGGCCCTGAAGCGCTCTCTCACCTCGCCACCAACACTCGGGGGGTGAGAATCCGTGGTCCTACTCGTATTGAATGCGAGCACTGCGCGAGAGCACACGCCAGCCAGGTTATATCGCGTCGTACGTCAGAACGACGCTCAGTGAGACCGTACTACCGCATCTCATGGGACCTATTTGACTTCACCAGAGGCTTTGACGGCTCTGAATGGCTCCTCCTCATCCGAGACGAGTACTCCGGACGTATCTTCGGCAGCCCACTCGCGAAGAAGACCCACGACGAGGTGTTTACCATCCTAAGACGCTTTGAGGCATGGGTCAGCACACAGCGAGGCCTCCAGATCTGTAAGATTCGGTCAGACAACGAAACTGCGGTTATTGGGATCAAGGGAAGTACAGAGTACGAACGTTGGGCAGCAGACCAAGGGATTGAGCTCGAGCTACCTCCACCCAACACGAAGGAACCTGTCGGCAGTGGCGAACGAACCGGCCTTGAGATCATCACAAAGATCGTCAAGATGCTAGACTCGTCTGGTCTACCATACGAGCTGTGGCCAGAAGTCGGATTCGCAGCTATATACACATACAATGCGAGTCCAATCCAACGTAACGATTGGATATCTCCAATTCAGACAGAGGAACTCTGGTTCCGACAGTACTTCCGGTGGTGGGCGCCAGCGTACGCAGCGGCGCTCACAAGAGATCTGCGACCACACTGGGGCTGGACCTACGCGTACGGCTGTAGAGCGTACCCGCTCATGAGCGAACGAGAGAGAGGGATTAACAGAAGAAGATTCAAAGTAGAACCACGCGCCCATATCGGATACCTCGTAGGGTATGTGCAGAACGCGCACAACCTCTACAGGATCTGGGTGCCCGCGCTACGAAGGGTTGTCATCACACGGAACGTCAGATTCGACGAGACGAAGTTCTATACGAAGAGCGACGCCAGCGAAGCGATCCAACAAACCGAGGCACAAAACGTGGTCTCCGTCATACAAGAAGAGGACCATGTAGCCGACGCCTTCGCCGACATGCTCGGAGTAATCAGAACGATCCAACTGACCTCCAACACGACACCCTCACAGCCGCAAGCTGAAGCCCCTCATCCCCTGCCAATAGAGAAAGCGGTACAGGACGCTGTCCGCTCGAACGATGGTCAGGCGGAACGAGGGCAAACAGGGTTCCTAACTCCCGAGTCAACACCGGCCCCTGAGGACGTACAACCTCTCGCCGAGTTGACCGAAAATCTCTCACTGAACGAGGTACCCGAACACGAAAGTGAACGGGCAGTGGGACCTCGCGATGGAGAAGACGTCGAAGGCCAGTTCGACGTGTCGGAGCCAGGGCACGTAGAAGAACTGGTTGAAGATGTAATTTACGTCCGCGGAAGCTCTCCTTCCGACGACGAGACGGGTCACTCCCGACAGAACGAGCTGGAAGAGTCAGCCTCTCAAGACCTCGCGCGGCCACGCGACGGAACCGAGATCCCACCTCCAGACTCGACGTCTGACGTGCAGCGCGCGCACTCAGACGGCGGCCCAACAAGAAGAAGCGAAAGAGTCAAACGACCTCCCCAACGATTCCACGGAATAGTCGACCAACCCAAACGGAAATCTCGCACCGTAGACTCAGGGGGTGAATCGTCAACTCAAGCCTTCTTCACGCTCCTTCGTGGCGAGCGATACGAGGACTCAATTCTCTCGATGTTCCTGCCTGATCAGCAGCAAGCACGAGACGAAGCCTCATACGGGCACTTCACCCTTCACTCCATGGTGATTGCTGCCATAAGACGGATCGAATGCCGACTACCTCTGCCTCCACTAGGCGTTCGACTCCATAGAGACCACGCCGTACGACCTCCCAACTCTTGGAGAGAGCTTCATAAGCTCCCAGAAGACATCAAACAGTTGTTCCTCGCAGCAGCACGGGAAGAAATTGCCGAGCTGAAGCGAAAGGGCACCTGGAAGGTCGTACGAAGAGAGG